TGGTGGGGGTGCTGATTGTGTGTAGTGGGGGGCTACCTGGCCTGCTCCCATGTTACAGATTCACTTCTACATGACCTCATCCTAACTTCAAAACATTCAAAGACTATCAAATGGAACAAAAAATTCCTTAAGGTCCAAAACCATGTCAACTAAAAAAAAGAACCACTGTGGAGGATCAAAGAATGAAACATGAACAGAGAAAGCACCGCACTTTTGTCTTCTACTGGCTTCATGCAATACGCCCCAACACCTCACAAACTATTGCACAACGATGTTTTAGGAAATTCATAAAACAGATTGTGAAGGGATTCACTACGAAACGGCCTTGCAAGTACTACGCATATGAGATATTTGAGAAAGACGGCCGGCTAGTCAGAATCTGAAGTGCATACAACGGCTGTGAGGCCGTCCTGCTGATTGCCGTGTCTCTTGTGCGTCAATTGCAAGCCAGAACAGATACCACTCAACCCCTCTACACTCAAGGGTGGTGCTACTAACCTGGGCTGGCGAGCAGCGACATGTACGCTTCCACAGTCTCGAATGGCATGTAAGGGAATGAGCCATCCCTGTCATCCATTAGATAATTTATATCCACAAACTAGCTTGTAGCTTCTGGCGGAAAGGAAGAGATCGGCGTGTGGGCTCTGCAATAATAATTATGAGCACGTAGCAGTAGTAGTGTTGAATGCAAAAGGTTAAGTCGAGTAGGAGAATATTCGTTGTAACAGAATTAGACATGCTGCAAACCATCACGAATCCTTAAACCAAAGACAGGGATCTCGAGAAATAGAGTGATATAATGATCGGGGAAAGGCAGACAGAGAGACTATTAGAGGTTCCAGTGTTGGTGTCCAGGGAAACCACAGGAAGGGATCCTCCTTGATTAGAAGCCTCGCCCAAAATGAGCACGCAAGACACAATCCTCGTAAGAACGTCAATGTAGACCGTACATTAATAAACATCAAAAAATCCCTTTAAATTACCATCCTCCCTCTCTTCCTCCTCCAGTCTCTCACTGTTGTTAATCTATGTGACAGGGAGCTCATTCCCTACATGCCATCGAGACTGTCAGCGTCTGTCTGCTCCCCGTTTGCACCTGTTAGTGTGTTACTTGTCTGTCTCAATGAGACAAGAGAGGATGCAGCTCACAGCGTGTTTTCCATCACTAGCGTCCTCTCACTTCATGGTATATGGGCCGTTCGTATCTCAACTGTCTTGTTAAACACGATTCTTCATATTTTGGTTGTGGGGTATTGCCTGAGCCCAAAAAAAAGTGCGGTGCTTCACTTTTTCATCCTTGTGCCCCACAGTGGTTCTTTTTTTAGTTGACATGGTTGGATAGATTTTGTTCATTTGATAGTTTGATGTTTTTGAGTTAGGAGAGGTCATGTCAGAGTGAATCTGTACATGGAGCAGGCCCAGGTATGTAGGTGGATGCTGAGCTCAGCCACCCCTTATGCCAAAAGATAAGGCAGTGAAAAGGCTGTTGAAAGCAGTAATGTTCAAACACCATCTGGTCAGTGCGAACCTTTCCTCTTTTCTCTCCGTGGTAAATTGCAACTATAAATCAAAGTGTAGACAGAGCCAGTTATGGAATTCAATTTACTTAATGGTTGAGAGACAGTTTGCCCTCCTTCTATATTTGATAGTTGGAATTTCTCATTCCTCTTCCTGCTGCCAGCAAAGGCAAAGTGTTCCGTAACATATGGCATGCACTTGTTATTTTCTCCGAATTATTACAGGATGAATCATCACTCATCACCTCCGCACAGGGAGTATTAATTAGTGATGTGAGGCAAAACATGCCAATGAAGGAGGTGCAGGCGCGACGGGCAGTGCCATGGCTCTGGCCCTCAGGACAAAGTCGAAACCTTATCACTCATGTGGATGAGGTGTCTGTTGTGCCGAGTAGAGAAACACGCACGACCATCTAAACCGTTTGCAAACAAACGTCGCCTCAGCACCTACCCTTTCTATTAAGACTACTCCTTCTGTTTTCTATTACTGGATCCTTCAGTATCAGGGATCAGCAAAAGCTGTCCAGCAATCATGCGACCGATGTTGTGTTCTCTAACGGATTTCTCTCACCCGTAGTGCGGACATCCTTGTCTTTTTCTCCTTCACCTCTGTCACACCCTATAACTCTTTTTCCCCTTCCTTCACACGTGCAGTTTTCTGTCAGATCCCCTTCTTACTGGAGGATCTCTCTTCTATGGGGGGGTGGGGGGGGTCTAACACAGACCAGTGCAGACCTGCATCCCACATTGAGAGGATTTAATAGCCTACTTGAGCTGATAATTTAGCCGGCATGTCTAATCACAGGAGGCCTTCCTGTGTGTCTGGACACCAACACTGGACCCCTCTAAGTCTCTCTGTCTGCCTTTCCACATCTTTATTCACTCTTTCTCTCGATCCCTGTCTCTTTTCTGTTTTCAATCTATTCTGTTAACATTCTCCTCTCCTTAACCTTTTCATTCCCTATCTGCTACTCTTCTATTCTTATTCCATCCCTCCCTCTCTTCCTCCTCCAGTCTCACTGTTGTTAATTCTATGTGACAGGGAGCTCATTCCCTACATGCCATCGAGACTGTCCAGCGTCTGTCTGCTCCCCCGTTTGCACCCTGTTAGTGTGTTACTGTCTGTCTCAATGAGACAAGAGAGGATGCAGCTCACAGCGTGTTTCCATCACTAGCGTCCTCTTTCATCTCATGGTATATGGGCCGTTCGTATCTCCAACTGTCTTGTTAAACAGTCTTCATATTTGTGGTGTGGGGTATTGCTGAGCCAGAAAAAAAGTGCGGTGCTTCACTTTTTCATCCTTTGTGCCCCACAGTGGTTCTTTTTTTAGTTGACATGGTTGGATAGATTTTGTTCATTTGATAGTCTTTGATGTTTTGAGTTAGGAGAGGTCATGTCAGAGTGAATCTGTACATGGGAGCAGGCCCAGGTATGTAGGGTGCTGAGCTGGCAGCCACCCCTTATGCCAAAAGATAAGGCCAGTGAAAAGGCTGTGAAAGCAGTACTGTCAAACACCATCTGGTCAGTGCCGACCTTTCCTCTTTTTCTCTCCGTGGTAAATTGCAAACTATAAATCAAAGTGTAGACAGAGCCAGTTATGGAATTCAATTTACTTACATGGTTGAGAGACAGTTGCCCTCCTTCTATATTTGATAGTTTGGTAATTTCTCATTCCTCTTCCTGCTGCCAGCAAAGCAAGTGTTCCGTACAGATATGCATGCACTTGTTATTTTCTCCGAAATTATTACAGGATGAATCATCACTCATCACTCCGCACAGGAGTATGTAATTAGTGATGTGAGGCAAAACATGCCAATGAAGGAGGTGCAGCGCGAGGGGCAGTGCCATGGCTCTGCCCTCAGGACAAAGTCGAAACCTTATAAACATCATGTGGAATGAGGTGTCTGATTGTGCCAGAGTAGAGAACAGCACGACCATTGCTAACCGTTTGCAAACAAACGTCGCCTCAGCACATACCCTTTCTATTAAGACTACTCCTTCTGTTTCTTATTACTGGATCCTTCAGTATCAGGATGCATAAAGCTGTGCAATCAAATGCGACGTGTTGTGTTCTCTAATGGATCTCTCACCCGTAGGAACATCCTTGTCTTTTTCTCTTCACCTCTGTCACACCCATAACTCTTTTTCTCCCTTCTTCAACGTGCAGTTTTCTGTCAGATCCCCTGTCTTAATGGAGGCAGATGCATCGGCAGGGACGTGTGCTGGTGTCCATCAAACTCAACGGGGAAGTTTTGCCACCTGCCAGTTTTGCCGCCTGCCAGCCCTCACGGCCACAAGGATGCCAGCCACCAGGCACCAAAATCCCCCTCCCACTCCATGTACACGCTGCCACTGTCCAATCAGCAAGGTAATCTTTCAGCTTGCCACCTGACAGTTAGCGAGCTCGGCTCATGTCGACTTCAGCTGCTCGACTCGTCTCCCAACGATACACTTTTTGTAGAGTAGCTTATACTCTGACAGAGGAGGATGACAAGTGGATGGTGCAGCACAGCACTGTCAGAGCCGTTAAGACGGCTTGCTATTGGAAACCTGAATGCAACGCAAAAGATTTATTCAGCAATTTTTTCCACAAAATTTCACAGTTTTAAACGTTGGCGTGACAACGCCTTTATTATTTTTGAAAACTGTTCCTCTTGCTTTTCTCAGTTTTTAAAGGCACACATGTACTTATGATTTACTAATCTGTTTACGGTGTAGCACTCAGCCTTTGCGGGCCAGCAGTGGAGGTCAGACTCTATTTTAAGCAGAACAAGTAATGCATGACTCAGTGGAAGTCCTCATATTGTTCACACAATGCTGCTTTTATCAAACAGAAGTGAATATTAGAAACAGAGCAAGGCAACATCATGAACCTATAAGAAGAAATATAAAAGAGAAAGATTTGCTCATTTTTCATCTCTCCTAGTATTTTTTTTTTCTATCTGCCTTATGTCTCGCTCAGCATCTCGCTCTCTGTCTAACTGTAAGTAGAAGCAGAAGCTCAGATAACTTAAATTCCGTTGAGAAATCTTCCAACCACTATTTTGAGTAAAATGACATGAATAATCATAATTAAACGACCTGAGTCCAATGTCTGCTTTGTCATGTCACCACAAAAAAAATGAGCCTTTCTCCCTGCATGCGTTATATATACACCGAGGCAGTTTCATGTCCAGGACTTTTGATAAGGTCTATTTCTTCTCCTTGGACTCTTCCTGACGTCTGTCAGTGAGACTATGATTCATGAGAGTGGGTCAGGATTCTGGGAAAAAACCCTGGCACTCCCTGAAGATAGATGCTTCCCCTCTGTCAGTAGGACAAAAGAGCTCATTCTCCTCATTGCAACATCTTCTCAGCTCCTCCACAAATCTGTTTTTGGTCTTAAATATGACTTGATTTAAACCAGAGAATCCAAAACTTATTGTGTTGTTGTTGTTTTGTAGTATCTTAATAGTGTCTTCATTGCTGGGAATTCCCCGTGTATATCTCATAACTTGGTGATGAAGCAAACTGAGTATGTGTTGGAGAAGTTTGTGCAGCATGTTAGCTAATAGCTCACAAACTGCAGTATGTATATACAGTTTTTATCCCTTGGCTGAGGATGCATCCTCTTACATTATTCAAAATTTGAAACTATAAACTATCTGCTATATTGTATAAACTGTGTGTCTTTTTGTGCAGTGTCTCTCCACCCATCCTTGGTGAACGTCCACATACAGCACCCTCCAGAGGCCGAGGTCCAGGTCCACCAAGTAGCTCGGGTACAGCCTGGGCAGAGACCTGCCATCACAGAGGGGGCTCACTCTGTCCAGCAACGCTCCCAGCCTGGGAATGGACATGAACCCACAATTGAACACAGCAGCAGGCATTCACATACCAACGGGAACTGGAATGGCCACGCCAGACCGCACAACCGCCAGAACGGACATGTGGGAAGATGCTTTCAGGAAACAGTCGACGGACAGGTATTGTGTTAAGTCGTTAAAACACATTATGTACACTGTCATCACTACCTGATCCGAGCCACCTGGTGAGTCCTGATCTATCGCTGGCGTTGAAACCAGTGGGAGAAAGTGTTGCTTTACCACGGGCGTCATTATATTCACATCCCCTCACCTTCTCTGTCTCAAACAGGAAGTGGGCCTGTGGGAATGATTTATGTAATGTCCAGGATTTATGAGCTCTGACCACACTGGTCATCTCATGTTCCACCAGTTTCCCAACAAAGGCATGCTATGAGTTAGGATGCATTCAGAGGACAAAGGTTAAGCTTGAAATCGAGCCCATGTGCTCCTTCTCTTTGTGGTGACTGTATGGTACCATTTATGGCACATACCACAGATTTACTGTACAAGATAATGAATGGATGACACAACAAACATTTGTTGAGAGAGAGAAAGAAGTTAGGAATGGGAAGGACTCATGTGGCAGTGCGTGAGCTTGGCTAATCTAAGGCTTAATACACTTAATACAGCATCTGTTTGCTTGGCTGTGATAAGGCGTTATGTTTGACTCTTGGCCTTTAGGTTTGCAGTTGCAACAACACAATGATTTGCAGTAGAGTTGTTTTTGCCAGCGTTATTCCTTGAACAAGTTTGTTTGTCCTGAACTGCAGATCATATTTTCTCTACTCTGGTTTCACAGAGAAGAAGAGAAGAGGAAAAGAGCGAGGAAGAGAGAGAGAGAGAGAGAGAGAGAGGAGAGCTGGAAATGAAACCTCCCAGTCACAGTGATTTTTCAGTTCTCCAACACAACTGCCCCAGAAAAGAAGTTCACTAAAGCTTTAGCTTGCAGTTTTCCCTCTTTTCCTGCCAGTATGCCAGTTTGGTGTTCTGCAGAAGAATGTCCTCTCTGTTGCCTTTTAGTTTCAGAAATTTCTATTGGCCAAAAAGCCAGTAAGTAAGGTCTGATAGGAATCTCTCTTCACAATTAGCCAAATGCCTTAATGAGGAGTGCCAGGAGGTTCATAGTTATTTCTTGAGGCTCAGTGTTTATGTCCTCCTCCAAGTAACTAGTCTCAGATGTGTCTGGTTCACTCTGTCCTCACAGATAGGTACACACACACACACACACACACACTCACAGACTGTTATAAACACGCTTTTACGAATGGCCCTTGCCGTGCACACACACATTTGCACACAAACAAGCACAAATATGTAACACTCATTGTCAAAACTCGTTTCTTAGATTTAACACAGATGTGTGTTGTTGTAGTGTGGCAAGCCTCTGCCAGGCCTAACCAAACAGGATGATTGCTGTGGAAGTGTGGGCGCCTCCTGGGGTCTCAACAAGTGCCAAAAGTGTCCAACCAAACCAGGTAAGCCCTACTGACCAAAGCCATCAGGTCTGAGCAGTTAATTTTTTGTCCTGCTCTGTTCCATTACATACTTAAATCTAATCTATTTCTAATCCCGTCTAATTCTGTTGGTATTATTTTCTGTTTTACTGTTGGTATGTTGATCTCTTGGTGCTCTTGTACTGATTTTCACATTTGTTCAGAACAGCCAGACGCAGCTGGGCTCTACTTTCATAGTGCTTTATATTCAGGTGTTTAGTCAGTGATGCCTGTTATATTCTTGAACAGCAGATGTTTATGCTTGGTGGATTTTTACAGCATTTATCATAGGCCTAATTAATACTAACAACTGATGATGATTAGCACATAGCAGTCATCATTAGATTCCTAAACTGCGTGACTCGCCCATGCACCCAGTTATAAAAATGAAGCTGTTTGCGCTTCCATAAAACTGAAACCAAAAAGCAAATGAAAACACATTTAGCATGAAGATGAGAGTCTGGCAGGAGTGCCACCCACCCTGCAGGCGGAATCAGCCAACGTGGCCTTGAAAGAGTGAGGAAATGAACAGCCCGACCAGAGCTGCGGTAGGTTTGAGAAACAGCAGCGGGGCGGTTGTATGCTGGCAGGCAGGGTGGGTGGTGACACCACCCTTCACTGTAGATGGAGGCCCTTGCTCAGCCTGACAGCTCTTGGAGGGCATGGCTATGGCCCTGTACTGGTGGAGGACTTGCTATGAAAGCCTCATGGGAAGCAGCTACAGTACGGTGGCACATGGGGACACTTTACATTCAGTTTTTGTCCCGGCACTCTTAATTATATTACGACCGTGCCCGCAGATGTCAAACTGGTTGTCAGAGTCCACGTAACTTGTTTTATGTCTGACTGGGCTTTAATCAGAAGCAGGCATCATCCCTCTTTGTCCCCTACATCTATCATAGATGCCAGTCCATTGTTTTCTCTCCCGTTCTCTGTCTCCCTCAGCATGCCCGATTCTTGCTCTTCCTAAGTCCCCGGCACGATCTCTTTTGGCTCCCAGATGTTTTCCTCTGCTCCCTCCTTTGAAGTTTGCAAGAGGCACGGAGTGAATGCCCCGTTCACTCATTTTTATGGTTGGTTTGGGGGGCAGCGTACTGTAGGCCTGGGTCCTGGGTCACACGCAGGCAGTGGAGGAGAGGCAAGAGAGAGAGAATGAAAGAGAGAGGAAAAATGAAGTCAAAATGAAGTCATATACTATGTCCCAGAAGTCTTGGAAGGAGCTTTAATAAGAGAAATGCTTTGAATTCCTCCAGAGTGTTATTGTTCTCAGTTTAGACACTTGGCCAGATCTCTCAGCTGCATTCCTCCCTCACTGGCCTAGACGTATGCTTTCTTATGTGTTTGACAGGAATGATGTGCAACCTGGAGACAACACTGAAAAATTATGCATTTCATTTCATAGTGAATGGGTCAGTTGGGCTTTCAGTGTGGAGGAAAGTCATATAGCTTTAAAAGAGTCTCCTGTGTCGCTTTTTGAGTATGTGATAATGATGTCATGAAAGCCCAGTTTGTATTTAAGGGTGTAACGCTACCATTGGTCAGTTTGTAGCTGGGTACAAAAGGCACTGTTGACTGGGAGCAAACTTTTTTTTTTATTGCATTTACAGAGGATGCCAATATGAGCATGGCTTTGCGGTTCTTTTGCAGAAGTAAATCTGCTTCCTGGATTTACTTCAGCTATTGACATCTATTATTCCATTCTAGGCCCATTTAGCCTCCACATTACTGTATATTTAGTGCATTTGCTCCAGCCTTGCTCAGTCTAGTGATATACACTCATGATATATTGCTATTGTTGCAGTCTGGCTGGGAGTCTCTGCGAAGTCTGCGACTGTCTATGCATTTCAGAGCAGGTGACGACATTATATAGCAGGATATTATTTATTATTGTACGCAGAGGACTTTATGTCACTGCTGTGGCAAATAAGGGAGGTGATTGTGTGTGTATGTGTGTTTGCAAAGGAGGGCTGACGTTGTAGGGGCATGAATGCCAGTGCGTCCCATCTCAGTGGGAGCCGAAGCCTTTAGGAGCCAGTGCCTTTAAAAGTCACATGCTGAGGATTCCTGGCTCGTAATGAGATCCAGATCAACCAGAACAGGCTGTAGTCAGCTTCCATCCTTCTGGTTCTTATGATGAGGAGGGGTGGAAAAAAAAAACCTGCCTTGCACTTTGTTTGAATTTCAAATTATCTTAATGTAGGATTATAATTTCTGTCCTTAGGTATGATGGCTAACCACTGTGCCAAGGGAGATTGGGCACAAGTCACGTAAGAAGCTCACGGCAGAAACTGACTCCACTGCACAGTGAGAGGAATTTTATCTCTAAAAACCAAAGAGCCATGATAGAGATGATTGTGCAACGTGGGGATGACTTGAGGATACCTTTTTATTAGTCAAGTAATCTGAGGTTCTCTAAGACAACCGAAGGCCCTTTCGCTGTGGCCTGACTCTGACCCATGCTGTAGTGTTGGCATGACTCTGTAATTCTGCTGGCAGCACCTCCCTCGTCGTGCATTTCACAGCTAATGGAATTCCACAAGCTGTTCGTCTCCCCGTCTGTCATTGCTGGGAAGCTTGCTTCTCGGTGACTCTCCCCCAGTCCCCGATGTTGGGAGGCTTCCCAGGGAGCCAGATCAGAAGTCCCCAGGGCCTAAAGTAACCGCCACACCCACAGGAGCCTTGGCTTCCTCTAATTTTACCTCCCTGGGTCATCGGGGTTATCATGATGTCAGTGCCCTCGTGCTGGCTTACCCCCGCCCTCTCTTCCACCTTTATCTGTGGGAGTTGTCTGCCTTTTTCCCCTCACCCCCAATCTCTCTCTCTCTGTGTCTCTCTGTCACGAGGACACTATTCTTCATGAGGTTTAGATCAATAAAGGCAGATGAGGCAAAGCAGGAGGGGGCCCACAGAGCTCCACCACTTCCAGATCTTCCCACATGAAGTCATCCCTCCCAAATCTCCCATCTATTCCCCAAACGTTTAATCTGACATTCATTGAGGGAGCCAAAGCCTGCGCTTATTGCTTTTTATTAGCACTGATCAAACATGAACACTTGTTAATGACCAACAAAAAACAGAGATGCAGCGACTTTGCTTTAGAAATAGGCCGCGAAAGAACAGATGCACTGGAACAGCTCCACAGCAGTGTCTCATGGTGAGAGGCATTTGACAGCATTTGATTCATTGATGTTGACTTAGAGTTATCCCTTCACAACTAGAATGATGGAATCTATTTGCTGGGCAGCAGTGTAGCTAATCAGGACTGAACAGAGCTAACCACTACGAGAAATAAATCCCAGTTGGAGGCAGATGGATATGAAATTTGTGTTGCATTTCTTAATTGGATACAAGCTAAGTTAAGCACATTTTTATTGGGAATGTACCATGGCATGCCTTCTTTTGGAACCGGCCCAGGTGCAGATTATAGAGGAATGTGGATCTGTTTTGAATATGTGTTTGATGCGGGTTATTTTTCCATTAGCATCTTGGAGAAGGGCGTGAGGCAGCATTGTCAAACTACAAACAGAGATGTAAAATGCATACTTTCGTGAACTGAAACAATGAAAAGCATGTTTTGAGTCAAGACTTAATGTCGCAGAAAAATGAAATAACCATTTGATCAAAGCCTTTTTGCTGTTGATGCACATGTGCTGCGGGAGGGTCGCGTCGAAGCAATATGATACAGATACACAGCTAAGACTGTCAACGACTGAGCAAGTATCTCAGAGCTTGTAGACTGGTTTTGTGTCTGATGTCTGTATCAGGAGGAGGATGTTGATATTAATCCCATGTGTCTTCACTGATTAGCCTTTTCTTCGCGAGCAGGGACACATTATGTACAGGGCATGCGATATGGGCCGTGCGAGGATGGCAAATGTGGCGTGTGCCACGGAGACATTTTGTTTTGAAAGCAAATGACTTCCCTTTAAATTGTTTGCTCCAATCAAGCCTTGGCTCAAAGGCCAAGAAGAGATGGCATTGCCATCTTAGAGACTCACAAGACCTGAAACCCTCCATGGTGATTAAAGAGCTCTGTTTGCTCCTGGTTTTCCCTCAGCGGCACCAGTTTGTCCTGTGGCGGCATGTCAGAAAGTAAATTGCTGGAAAGGGTCCTGAGGAGGACTTGGCTTTGGTGTCGGTTGTTTTCCTATAGAGTAGCCCCCAATGAAATGGAAAGGAAGGCTGTCTCCTGTTCCCGTCCTGTGGATGGCATCCATCCCTCCTCCCTCCCGTCTCCCACGCGTTCTCAGGTTTTCCAGCCAGTTAAGGAGAGGAGAGAAGCCCAACACTGAGGTTGCCTCCCAGGCAGGTCCCAGGGGAAGTTGGTGAAGGGCTCTGAGCCCTGTGATTGATGGACCAGACCTCTCAATCGTCTTAGAAGTACAGCCCCAGGGCTGGGTGGTCCACCGAGTGATTGTACCGAATTAGCAATTAAAGATTTCTGTACAGCTGAGGAACCCATTTGACTATAAACTCTCTCTCCGTTCTCAGCCTCCTGCCTCCGTCTCTCTTTACTTTCTCTCTCATTTTGCATAAGCTGTCCTTTCATTTGAATGCCCTCAGCAGTGCCCATGGTGGAGCAAGGTTTACTTTCATGTTTAAAAGAGACCTGAGGAATTTATTCAGATTTGATTTAGGACAACACCACCAATCCAGAAGCTTCAAGGAATTTGAATTAAGGGAATTTGAGCAAATATTACTGAACAGTTGTCCCGCTGGAATGCACAACACAATTGAATGGAGACGGACAATAAATTAGTGAGGGGTGACAAATTCTTTTGTGGAACAGGGCTAAATGGATAGACAACAATTGGAAGTTTTTGTCTGTACCCTCAGTGGATACAGACCAGTCTGGGTCTACAGTCTTTGTAACCAAGGGTGACACTAATGATGCGCAGCTTGAGCTCACTCTTGCAAGCCACTGCCTGTGTAACTCTATGTTTTCTACACAAATGACTGTAGCAACAAGCATGAGAACGGACACATCATTAAATCCTCTGAGGATAACGTAATTCTTAGCTTTTTGTATAATAATGAAAATTGCACGACCAAGTTGTCACTGATTAGCATCTTTTCTTGCGGTGGATGTTCAGACGACACCGACCAGGTTTTCCGGTACAGTAGCCTAGGAATCAGGAGCAAGACTCAGCTACAGTGATTTATTAAGCCTTGCTCCAACATTGCAAAATTAATTAACTAGTCAAACAGCCAACACTCTCTGATAACTGCATGATAGAGGAGCCAGTATTTACCAAGGGACTCATCCACCTATATGCTGAGTTGCAGCAGCTGGTTTTTAAACTTTACTTCGAACAAATTGCCTATAGGGAACAATAATGATCTACTGAACTAAGCTCTGATAGCTAAGATTTATTTTTAGGGCTGGGAAGCACATAAGGAAATGCTGAGTACAATCTGCCAAATTAGATCCTATGTGCAAAGTTTGTAGTGTAAGGTTTTACGAACATATTCTGTAAATGCACCTGGTATATGTGGTAAGACGCTGATTTCACCTCACTGCGAGGCTTCTTACATAATTAGGTTTAAAGGTTGCACAAGACTTCTGCAACATCCCAAGACGTTTTAAGACAAGCAGAGTTTTGAAATGAGCTGTCTCTCGGATCCATGCTCAAGTTGTTACTGACCGCAGAGGTCCTCTCCTCCCTGCTAATAAGCTTTATTGAGACTCCTGAACCTCCCCCACTGGGCTTCCCTTGGCATGTGCGCCCTGCTGTCACTCAGGCCAGACTTTCCCTGATCCCATCACTGCGGGAGGGCGTGCCCACCGCCCTACCACAACAGCTCATTACTCAGAAACTTTGGAGGGGGATTAGAGGGGTGTGGAGGAAGATGAGGAGGTGGGCAGACAGGAACAGGGGCGTCGCTTTGACACAGTTCCCCCCTTTTTTCCCGCTGCCTCCTTCATGCTGACCCACTTCTGCTCTGTCAACCCTCAGGTACACTGACCCTGCCTGGTCCACTGGGTCACAGCAGGACCAAAACATAACTCAACTTCCAGGACCTCGTTCCCAGAAAACCTCCATGTGGCACGCATTCCAGTCACTCCTGGGAAAATGACACAAACTCATGACTGATTGCTGGTTTTTATATTGACAGCATATATTTACGGGATCGTTGTGTTGGTGTCTTGTACATATTGAAGGCTGATGAAGTCTTTTTTTTTTTTTTTTTTTCGGCCGCTGGGTTTGGAACTTCAAATTCTTTCCAGTTTCCAACTCTGAAAAAAATAATGACTGAGCTTCTCAAACATTGGAGGTTCAATGTACAGTATGTGTTTGCTGTTGCTTTCTGTTGGGTGATGTAGAGGCATAAAGATGACAGATGGGTTATAGAGATGTGATCCTGTCTGGTCCTGCCGGCCTGCAGTCTGGCATCCAGATAGGCATTTACATTAGACCAGAGCCCCCTCTCCGTCAGCACTCTGGTTTGCTGCAGTTTTGGTCACAAACACATTGAGACTTTTCTCCCTTTCCCAGAGCTCTCTGCCAGGGAAGGAGATGTGTTATCTTTGCTGGCAAGGCTGCGGCCATGGTTTCTTGCATGCGTCACCTCTGTTTTCGGCCCGTCATCACTGTGGCAGCAAGTTTACAGCGCTTTTTTCTGGCCATGGTGTGAATCCAAAGATTGTCATCACTTTATTGTGTTCCTGTTCTCTGAGTGGGAAACGTTGGGTATCATGATTTCTCTCTGCGCTGGATGATGATGATGCAAGTAAAAATGAATGTGAACGAGGCAAATTCTGCTATTATACATGTATATTTAAAAAGAAAAAAAATCAAGTCCTGTTTCATATTTCGGAAAAATAAAATGCCTATTCACGCTCAAGAATTTGAGCTGAGACATAATAAAATTTGTTGCACACACGTCACCAAATTTTTTTTTTTTTTTTTTCAATCTTGGCCGAAACAATATTTTTCCAGTGTGTTCATGTGCTAAAAGTGCAAAACAGAATCATGGCGATCATGATTAGGAAGCAGCATACAGCAAGGACCCACCATCATGGCTTTAAGCTGTCTGATTCATGACTATAATTTAATTTGACTGTAACAGTGAGAAACAGTTCCGTCATACTAATAAGCATGCCATTATTTTCAGAGCTCTCCTCACCCAAACACACATTTTTCCCTCCAAAATCAGAAGTTGGATTTTCTCCTTTCAACACGATATGAAGCAAAATTCTTCATCTCGGTTTATGTCATGGAAAGATCTGCTACTAATAATCACCCTGTCTCTGTTAAGAAACCTATATATCCTCATACACACTGGTTCTTTGTCCCGGTCAAACACACAGATACATTCACACACACTCAAACACAAACAGAGACCGTCTTTTTGCCATAATGACAGTCACATTGACCCCTCTCTACATTTAATGGAACATGCTGGGACTTGACTGGATGCCGAATGAGTAATGACATGATGTTTTCAGGCCGCTGTTAGTGACAGTACGGCCGCACTGGAGCATTAACAGACACACTTGCGTTATTTACTGCAGCACTTCTGTGAACCCCTAATGTATACACACCTGAAGCACACACCATATGATTTTTATTGCTTTGGCAAAACAAGCAAAAAGAAGTTTTGGGCCAATCACTTTCCTGTTAGCTGTACATTAATCATCATTCCTCGTGTGCACATTTGAAGCATTAGTCTCTTGTTTTTAAGTAGATTTGCACTGTGGTTGATGATAAAGGTCAGGGCTGTCATGTAGGCTTCCTCAACATATTTATGATATAAGCACTTCCTTCATCTGTCTCTCGGGGTTGAGGAGAGTTATGGGTAATATGATTATAAATGACGTCGAGTGTTATCGTTACATTCTGCTGGATGGCAGTGCTGTCTTATAAACGTGGTTGATGGGGATCCATTTCCATACACTCACTCTGGAGTCCCTCGAGGCCCGGCTGTGGGTCCCCTAATTTCTCCTCTTGCCAAGATGCTCACATCTGTAAGTTATATGGTCCCCTCCTAAAGCTGAGCTCCTCTTCTCTCCCTGCGATGAGTGCAATGCTTCGTGACAGAGAGGCACGGCACTGTAAGATCATTTTCCTCCTCTAAAGCCGTGCTTTCTCTTTCTGTTTGCAGCATACGCAGTGATTGCAAATGGACAAGTGGAATGTTCCAAAGGTTTTAAAAGGATGAATCTCACACACTGTCAAGGTAAGCTATAAAATATGTTGGAAAATGTCTATTTAGTTCAATATTTTATGATATGATTTATCCCACAGCATATTTTAATAGGTAGTTTACTCATAACAAAAACATAGCCTATATTAAATATAATGGCATGGATGTGATAAAAACTTACTGCCCATATGTTTCCATGCATACATGCCTATAAAAGTATCCCTTGCTGTATGTCTGGCCCCTATGGGAACCAGGTCAAGACTACACTTAGCCTTGGTCCAAGGTCAGAGTTCAGCAGCCAATAAGCGCCTGGGGCTGTTGTTTTAATTGGTCTTTGGGGGTTCTAAGTGGAGAATGGTACGGTAGGCTGCGATTATGGTAAATGTGGCTCACTGAGTGTTTTTGAGGGAGCTTTAGTTGCAGACCTTGTTGCTTCCCTAAATGTTCCAGCAGAAGAAAAGCTGTATGAACACCAGCACGCCCATCCATCTGTATGTGAAAACAAACTCAGGTCAGTCTTGAATATACACTTTCATCGCACCATCCCAGAGGTGGCCATTAATCAGATGACCGGTGGTTCAAGAAGCAGTAACCACCCACAGTGTCAACTCTGTAGACAAGCTTCCTCTAGAGGATTTGGACCATTTATATTTGTTGCTGGAGTTAGTACACAGCATCGGAATTAGTCAACATGAACAAATAAACCTCGGCTCAAAGACACAGGAAAAAAATGCACTGCTTGATCTGCGAACAGGGCAAATGATACTGACACTTTGGAAAACAAAATGCAGCTCCTCTGACAGTCGACTTGAGCTCCGTCAGTGACTTGATTAATGGTGTCATAATCCAAAAGGCAAAGCTTACTGAAGCCTATGGAGTGGAACAACATAATGCTCCAATGGACAGCTTTGACTGCATCAATAACAGTCCTCGTCCACTGGTTCATCAAGTTCAACATGTTTTCGTATCATTACTGGCCCATTAATGTTTTCAGGTAATGATTGAACTGGGAAACATATTTTATTAAAACAAAGACCTGTGAACAAGGACACACTTATTTTCCAATCGTGCGTCAACTAGCCAACAAATGTGGAAATTTATCTTTCTATTATTCATGCTTTTCTTTCATGATTGTTTCAAGATGTTCCTCCCTTTCAGTTGCTCGTTTCTTGACTTCCAAAAAAGCAAAGCTGACAGTTACCCACAATATTTACTGGGGCGCTTTTAAGTCTCTGTCCCATTCAGCCGCTGCGCCATTCCCAAAAAATTATTTCTAATTTAAGGTCTTGCAGCAACTGCCAAGGAGGCAAAAACCTGCTTTTTCTTGGATTTTGTCATTATTATGATCAGGATGGTGTCCATCTTGCCAAACTGGGGCTCCTTCGCTGAGCTGTTTGCAGTGTACTTTAATGGAACAGTGAAGAGCTTGTCTCATACTCTGTAATAGGCATGATTTACTGCTCTGGCTTTGAACGCTGACCCTTGCGGTCAGTGACGTCCTCACTGCGATACGATAAGATTCCCCATCAGAGCCATGCGCCGCACTCTGACTTCAGAGATGGTTCCTTATCTTCAGAAGCTGCTTCTCAGAAACTAGGTCAGCTGAATTGGACATTTGTTAAATGAAAGGCCCACATAGTTGGATGTGCAGTCTCTGGTTGTGGGTGGTAAACTGGTGCCAGGAGCAACTCTTTTGATATGAACTTAATAATAGGTTACAAACAATTTTAAAACACTGACATTTGACAGTTATCATATTGAATGTTGCCTGGGTCAACAGGGTTAGATCCAGATATATCAGGTTTATAAGGGAGAAATTTGCCTGTAAAAATCTAGTTCCCAGTAATGGCTGCTTTGGCTGTATTTTGAGAATGTGCATTCACTATTCACAGTCTCTAAATGGATGAATTTTGGCCCCATAAGTTATGTCTGATTTGAGACTTCCAAAGTAGTCATAAGGTGCTCCCTTTGGCCATAACAGCCAATACATAATAAAGAGAGTAATGTTGCCAATTTCCTTTACAGTCTCTATAAATAATTCTGCAGGTGTTTATGTGAATCTTGGTTTTTCCAGAGGTTAAGAGCGGACAAGGTCAAGTAAGGTCGCAGCAGACTGGTTGACACTTAAGCCAGAGTATTGCAGTATTTAATATTTGTCATTAAATATTCAAGAAACAATCGTGATAAAAGGTGTTGATGGACACTTGTGAGTTTTTACCACTAGGACTATTTGTCAATGAGAGCAACCGAGCATAAATTCAAAATACATGTTGAGATTAGTGCTGGTCGTGACAGGTTGTCATGGAAGTCAGCTTCAATCCCAATCAACCCACCAGCAGACTGTAACAATAGCACTAATCTGGGACTCAACCGAACCATGGATTAAAGACCCCATGTGATGAAGGCTGAGCCCAACGCTGACCTGAACTCTGACCAGATAGCATGCTGCTTAAACTAAACCACGCAATATTGTTGTTCCAGTCTTTAAGAGTGTGAACATCAGCAGAGACAGGAACGACATCTGTGGTCTGCTTCATCGTCTTAACAGCGTGTGCCTCATCCTTACTCATCCAAACAAGTGGCTTTTGCTAACAGAGACGCAGGCTTGTTTACACTGCCATAACATAGAGGCTGGAGGCTTTGTTGTCATAAGGCCAGCTTTAGCTTTAGAACCAGTCCCTCCGAGGAGAGATAGGAAAGTGCAAAGAGAAATGGAAAAACAAAGGGAAACGCAGATAGAAAAGAAGAAACAACCGCACAACAAAAGGGACATTGAGGCATTCCCTGGATTTGCTTCAGTCCACAGAATTTATCAGCCTCAATCCCTTATAAGCTCACTTTTTCCAGCAGGAAGCAAAACAACAAAACAAGAGCAGATTAATTAGAATTGGGAAAATCTGTGGTGGCAGCCTGTCTAGTTCCAGTCGTCAAAGCAATGGGAAAAGACCTAATGATGTACTCTTTTTTTTTTTAACACGGTAGAACAACAAACTTTGCCTGGTCCCAGTGTGATCGCATGACTAAGCGCCTGAAATATGTCCCCCTATGCTCCTGGCTGGCACATGAACTGGCGAGCTTGCCTCCGTTTGGCTTAGTGGCTCAGGAGCTGTTGGAGCAATAAGCAAAACTCCACCAACCACCGTATCACTCCGGCACATGGTTCGGGTCAGAGAGGGGGAAAAAAACATCTTTAACTTACACTCATTGACGTAAGCTAAGGATGCTGTGACCTTATGGGACGCTGTAATGGAAAGATGCTGAAGAAGATGATAATCGAAAACATTCTGCGATTTCCTCTATGTCTGCTTGACTGCCCAGATTTCAAAGTCAAGGTTACCACAGCCCTGAGAGCTTCTAATATCTTGCAGTCAGACGGAAACATGATTTTGAGTGCATTCTGTTTTATTGTGGTCAAATTTATTTTACATATTTCCCCCATGTCATCACTCCTCCTTGCTTTCATATAACTGCGTAACCTTAAAGTTTCAGTATTTCATCACCTCCCAGCAGCTGGTGGTTTTGACTGCATGATGTATTGCCATCTAATTTGTCACCTTTCAAGGTGTAAATGTTTTCTAAAGCCTTACATCACGTAAGCACGAAGGCTCTGTGTACTTAATGTGAAATGCAGAACACTAAATCTGGTATTGATACTTGTACCATGTTGGTTGAAAGGTTCATTGGGAGTTCAATAAAGTTTTGCCAGGGGAAAAAAACATGACTTCATGATATTTCCATAATCAGAATATACTAGATCCTGGATGACTGTCATACTGCATATTTCACAGACATCAATGAGTGCCTGTTGCCTGGGATCTGTAAGAATGCTGAATGTCTCAACACCAGGGGAAGCTACAGGTGCACGTGTAAACCCGGCTACATGTTAGACGCCGCCAGGAGTCACTGTGTCTGTAAGTGTTGCTCATAACGACAGATTATCATAAGGCTTTCTTATGTATTTCATTGGTTTACATGATGGTATCGACTCTCTCCTCAGCGGACAAAGCTGTGTCTGACCTGAGGGCGCTGTGCTACCGGTCGGTGTCAGCGGGCACATGCTCTCTGCCGCTTGCTCAACACATTACCAAGCAGATCTGCTGCTGCAGCCGAGTGGGCAAGGGCTGGGGCTCTGGGTGTGACCGCTGCCCTCTGCCAGGATCAGGTACAGTCAAAAGTTACCCTGTGCTGCTCCTGCATGTGTCCGAATTCTCCTCACGGCTTCGCTCGTCCATCCATCTGCAAACTTAACCGTCCATATCTGGTTTTTACTGTACTTTCTGAAGAACTATTCACTGGGTTAAATGCTTTTCCAGATATAAAATGTCACATGTAATCTTATGCAAGAGTGAGCAATGATAGTGAAAGCACAGGCAAAGAATATTTACCACTTAGGCACCATTTTGCTGTCTACTAGGCATGTAAAGCGGTTCAAAATAACCAAATGTGTTTGGAGTGGAAAAGGACCAAAAACATAACAGTTTTCATATTTTGGAGGCTACATAATAGTGGGAGTCAGTCTTGTGTTATCACTCCAACCTCCAGAGAGAAACCCCACTAATAGACCGGCAAAACTTCACAGCAGAAATAAATAGCTTGGCCAAGTGAAACATGGGAAGTAGTTGTCATCTCACTTTTTTTTCATACCGATCTAATCTTCAAAGTCTCGGAGAGAAACAGGCTGGTTTTATGGAGTGTCTGTACTGGCCAGTGATTCATGGGGATTGTCATAGATCAGATATCAGAGACACAGACCTCCATGGTGCTGCTCAGCCAGCACTGACACAGTACACAGACACACAGCCTCTGATTATTTCGGACGCTGGCTTTTGTATGGCCTGACAAGCTGTTAGAGCCACGCTCTGAACCAAGCAGCCAGGCCCGTTTCTTGTGACTTGAAGGTAACAGGAGCTCACTGACTTTCATTCCACATTTAATTCTCTGATGTGGCTCCTGATCATATAGAGCCCTATTTCCCTCCACTTTAAATTCATCATTCAGTAGCTTATCGTATCCACATTTCCTGCATTTACACAAGCATTTACAGCGACCACATATCTGTCATTACTCGTATCTCTATTCCAGACTCTTTTGGCGTAGAGTTGCTGGTTTCAGGTCAGGTAGGGGACACGGTGCTTCTCACTTGTAATGGATTCACCATCGCTGAGGTTTGTTGGGCTCGGACACAAAGAGGTGCAGTCTCCCTCCTTTTAAGTAACCAGCCAATCCTCCATTAGCCTCTCACTCACACGCCTCTACACCGAATAGTTCAAAGGTCAGTCAGTATTACATGATCTTCTACTTCCCCCACTGGAGTGCTTGTGTCTGTTTGTTTGCGGAGATCCCCCAATCTCTCCAAATCCCCTCCCTGGTAGCCCTCTGTGACAGCTGTCACTGGCTTGCCAGGTCGCTAGTTCTGCAGCAATAGACGAAACCCGACCCCTCTCATTCACAGCACACAGTAAAGCACAGCATGCTCAACATAACAGTATTACACGGATGGCTTATGGTATTGCTGTGAACATCAGACAGAAATATGAGCCACAATTACACTCTGGCAGCGTTTGACGTTAGCTTTAGGAGTCGGCGAGCACGATACAAAGGAGATGTTTTCTATGGCTCATTGTTCGCTGATGTGTTTCCTTCCCTCCAGACCATTTCAAGGAGATCTGCCCAGCTGGTCACGGATATACCTACTCGCGCTCAGATGTGCAGATTTCTCTTAGACAGCTGGAAGAAGATGATCTACAGAGCACAGGAGTATCATGGGAGGAGCAGAGTCCCACTTATCCTCAGCCTCCATCCTCCCAGCCTTCACTGCTGTTGCCCAGCAGGCCACATTTCCCAATCTACCCACAGACACCGCAAGTGCCCCAATACCCTGAGTACCCTGAGACACCAGAAGCACCCCAGTACCCTCTGACTCCACAGCAGCCTCTCCATCCCTCTCACCAAGACAGAGAGACACCTACACAGCCGGAAGGTGAGAATAAAAGGTTTGGTACATGAAACCTCTGCCAAGTTGTCTTTTAGGTTGATAAATGTTTACTCTGAATGGTAGAAAAGTTGTTGCTGCTGAAGGTTCTGTACATATTATGCACTTAGGCTTCAGAGTTATCCAAACATGGTATTCACTTAACCACTTGAATATTTTTACCACAACCCATGACATAAACAATGCAGGGCAGCTGAGGGATTACACAATATGAATATTTTTCTGCAGGATGTAAATGGATTAGCTTCTTTTTTAAGAATCCAAACATCAACAGGATGTTTTGAGCTCCACAAATAAATGCTCGATCCAACACCGAACATATTCGGAGGAGTACTCATGTTCGCCATCCATCAAACGGAAACCCCCTGTGAGCATCACAGCAATGCACACAAGTAATCCACGTTGGCCATACATCCAAATCCTCAGGCTTTTCTGCAAATGTATCTTCCTGATTTAATGCTTGCGAGATACTTTACTGGCACAGCTACGACATTTTGATTTATGTCAGGAGACAATTCTGTAAATATTTAGGGATTTTTGTCTTCATTATCAGAGATATCTGTTTCCTTGTCTCTCTTTGCATTTTTCCTCGGCCAGTAGTCTGCACTGCAACTACAACTTTCTCTGTCAGGCTTAGAGGATAAATGTACCGTAAGCTTTGTTTTATTTGAATGAAACACCTCCAAAGTTGCAAGTCAAGTGCTTAAAGAGAACACAGGTTTTTTTGTGTATGTTGTTTGTAGTCAGTAACGGTACTTGTTAATATGAACAGAATGTCAACTTTTGCTACTGATAAACTTTTCCTCTTCTCTCTGTCTGGTGGCAGATATGGAAATTCTGAGCCCGGTAAGTTCTCCCTCCCTGTCTTGGCTTTTGAAATGTTTGTCTTAAGACGATATACTTTAGCTATCTCAGCTGGAGAGTTTGTTTTGATTATATAACTTATTCAGACCATATTTTGGTAGATAAACACTCCTAATTAGCACTAAATATGATGACAAAAGCAGAGATACTGTATGAATATGAACACTGCAATGAAAAATATAAGCAAAATCCTTTTTTGACAAGTGATATTTGCTTGTTTTTCAGCCAGCTGTTGTGACTGACTCACCACTGAAATATCCAGGTATTTTTTTTCTTGGCTTTACTTGCACAGATCAAATAACACATGTTCACCCTTCACAAGTGCCTCAACACTGCTGTTTAAGGCCTCTTGTGGTTTTATTTATTATCTCTAAGCTTAAAAGCCAATAGTAGTTTCAGCCAGGCACAGACGTGATGTGTTTTCTATAAATTGCTCGCTCCTGCACAGCGGTGGCGGTCTTAGTCCTTGTCTGCTCTGCCTTCACGCCAGTGAAAACATTGACATTAAAGTCTGAAGGTCCCCTTCATTCATTAAGTCTGCTTGATTTATTTTGGTCATTGTACTGTTTTTAGCTCGGAGAAAAGAGTAGATCATTTTTATACAGCTGCCCAGTGAGTGACAGCTAAGGCAGTAGTGGTTGGGAAAACAAGCAGTGTATCGCAATGGTTGTGGAGCGTGATAATTTACTTTGTGAGACAACGTTATTGGTTCTTTGTATTCACACTCCCTCAATCCCTCTTCACAGAGACTTCTCCAGACTCCTCCATCATCGACCTCATGCCAGATTCGAAGGAAACGACCCCAACAGACTCAGTCACAGGTAAAACATGTGACCTGGTGTTAACTGAATGCAGAAAGTGACACATATCAAAATACAGAAAAACCCTGATTTGAAAATAAAATAGAGAAACAGAAAACACTTTCAGTGCTATTAGTTTGTTCATTAAAGCTGGGGTGCAGGACTTTTACATATAAATTAACATTTGTGACATTCAAGCCATTGCCAAATGAGTCCACACAATGCTGATTAAGCCTATCAACAGCAGGTAAATCTCTGTATTTCGCTGTATACCAGTTTTAAATCTGGTGTCTGTGGCAACATTTCTGCATCAGTAGTGATGCATTTTACGTCGAGCAGCAATGATTGGTTTGCCAGAGCTGAGGAGGGGAGAAATTGTAGCAATGGAGTAATGGCAGAGCCAATGGCAGAAATACCTCAGAAGCATCCAAGAAAAGTTTCTGATGCTCCAGATAAAAAGAAACTCTGTGTTCAGAGAAAGGATTAGAGGTCTAAAAGAGAAAGCAGTCAACAACAAGGACAAACACGGCACTTATTCTCTCCAGGCCTATCTCAGTCTGCAGCAGCGACGACTGCTGAAGCTCGTCTCGTCTGCAGTCTCCAAAGATAGCAACAGTTAAGCTAAGCTAGCTATCTTGCTTCCTGAAAAAAAACACACTTTGCCAGCAATAACCCAATCCCAAAATGACGAAAACACTGTCAGAACAGAGTAAAATATGGGCAGCAGAATGAAATAAATGGAAATAACTGATGTAAATCAGGTTATTACACTGGATGCAAATCTAAAATCACCAGGTGGGTATGGGGCTGTAGGACAACCATGCGCAAGAACAGCATGAAACTGAATTCTTCATTTTTTATGTTCTCTGTCAACTGCTGGCAAACAGCGGCATTTCTCATGAGGCATTTTTGCAGGCTGACCCAGAGTAAAGCTGTGGAGAGCTTGCATTATGCTTTTATTTGACCCCTTTTCTCCAAGCCAAGTTGGCTTGAAGATGCGGCACTGCACAGAGGGTGAGAGGGCGAAAAACCAAGAAAGAGTGTGCCTCTTGGAAGGGGAAGCTATCCTGAGTGGACAGGGGCCAGATTTATGACAAATGCGGGAAGAAGGGAAAGACAGAGTGAAAATGTGTGCGTGTGACAGAGAGAGGGAGGTGAAGCACAATTGGAAGGTTAAGGAGGTGAGGAGAATTTATAATAATCCTACAGAAAAAAGACATTCTGTAGTTAGATTTTCCCTCCTCAGGGTCCCAGTTGAGTGTCTTTGTTTTACCACAGTCCATTCGGATGGAAAAAGACAAGAACAACACTAATGTCAGGCTCTACTGTGCATGACCTGTTTCTCGACGACCCCTTTGTAAACGCTCCATACCACCTGTTAGAACACTACGGTGCTGTAAAACCTGTCCTCTCATCCAAAACCCCACCTATAAAACAGCAAGATGGCTTCCAATGGAGAACAACATGTGTTCTTGGAATGTGCTTTTTATTTTTTACAGTGTCTGTAATGTTGTGTAACCTTAGGTCACAAAAATCCTCGTCTGCATTCTGAGTAATAACTGTGCACATCTCTGTGGCTTTTGTTATAGGTGTTGACAAATGTGCCACCACCCCCACCATATGTGGTCATGGGAAATGTATTCCTGTGCAGACGGGCTACACCTGCCAGTGTGAACCAGGATTCAAGCTCAGTGCGCTGCAGACCAACTGCATTGGTAAGCAACGATGGGAGAGAGAGGGAGATGGAATAAGACAGGGGTAACGGTGGGACGCTCAGAGAGAAGGAGGGGCACACAGACACACACATGCTGACACCACAGGCCCCATCGGCTCTGTCTATCATCATCACAGTGCAAGCAAGTCTTCAACACCAAACATTACACGGCACAGAAGCCTTGAGAAATTAAGCGAGCCAAAATGAAAGGGATCCGTTTGTTTATGTTGACCTGTTCCGTGATGCCTGACAACAGCGTACAGGCCGTCCAAAGAGCTGCCACAGTGCTGTGATCCCTTACCTCACATTGAAGGCCTTGGCCCGAGCCTCTGCTCCACCCGGCTGGGCTCAGGCCCATCACTGAGGAATGCCTGTATAGTAGAGGAGCTCCAAAGTGAGGGCCTGGAAAGTGCACAGTCTTGCTGCTGCTGGTGAAATGGAACTGCAATATGATGTCGCATTCGACCTTTTCTACTCTCCTTCTCTGTCTTTACCTTCTTTCTCTGTCCCCCATGGCAGATGTGAATGAGTGTGACGAGGACCCATGTGAAGGGAAGGGCCGCTGTGTAAACAGCTATGGCTCCTACACCTGTCAGTGTCACAGCGGCTACAGCCAAGTGATCACCCAGAACAGGAAGTTCTGTCAAGGTGAGACACAATCCGAGGAAAACGGTAAGAGATGTAATGTTTCCAGGGGATGAAAGTCACCACAAGCTGCTGTTGGCTTTCTAATTCTCTGTTAGAGCCCCACAAGTATTTGTCTGTCAGCGCTGTTCATTTAAAAAGCATCCTGCCCTAATTAATGCTGTGGAACACAATAGTCACTTTCTTTTCCGTTCTCCTTGGTTCTCATTCAAACTGGCAGACATTAATGAGTGCAGCATGCCCAACAAGTGCCAGAATGGCAAATGTGTCAACACAGAAGGATCTTACACCTGTGAATGCAACAGTGGCTACGCCAAGTCTTGGAGAGGCCTGTGCGAAGGTGACATGCATACACGCACGCACAAGCACCTACGCACACAGTCAAGCTCTTATAACACACACAATCCTAGCCAGACCTATTTGTTTGCTGCCATGAGTTAATGTGTAGCCCAGTAACAAAACACATGTATTTTCCTCTAATCGAAGCCAGGAATAAAACTATGAGAGAGCTATGCTCAGTTCGTGACAGAGCGATTGTGTGCTTGTATATATTAGCATTTTTGACCTTACACCCTTTCTTCCATGCATGTGCACATTGTTTCAGTAACAACTAATTCAAATGATTATTTTGGTGTCCCACCTCCTCCCTGAGCAGATGTGGACGAGTGCAGGGATCCCAGCTCCTGTCCTGACGGCGTCTGCGTCAACACTCTCGGCTCCTTCCAGTGCCAGGCCTGCGGCCCGGGCTTCAGGCCTGTCAGTGAAAGATGTTTGGGTAAGGCAACCCCACACCCCATCATAGCAGCAGCACCACCACCACCACCAATACGCACGCTCCTCGGGGTTTTCCCTCTTACGCTGTAAAAGCTTCCTGTCTTAGGTAACATTTACGTAAATGAAACTGCTGCTCCCGGTTGGCATCACCAAAAATAACCGTGGCGTCATGGCAACGAGCCGTGCCATTAAAGACCTGTTGACAGCCTGGGATGCAGCACAGTTCACCTAATAGCGCGAGCTGAATTAGTTTCAATGAGCTGAGCTTTTTGCTCAAAGGGACTCAGACTGTTGATTTTTATAGAATAGATTTTATTTTATGCTTCAAGAGTTCATATTGGATGTTCTAAGTCCAGCGTGGACCACTACTGAGCCCACATGACAGCCTGAAACCACAGTGATTGTGGGCGTAGCAACAGCTCCCCACCCTCTCTCTCCATTCAGTGTTTCCACGTATGATATATCAGCTTCTCCACCCAGCAGCCTCTGCATATCCCCAATATTGTTTAAACACATTCACCGTGTTATTGCTGATCTTTCGATATCACTGGCCCCCGTAAAAAGATTGTTTATAATACTTCAATTTGGGAGAGTCCAAATATTTTCTCTTGGCCACAGCCTTGAACAAACAGCGTATTATTGTTGGAGAGCTCCGGCCACTGTACTCTTGGGCCCGGTGGAGGCCAGCACGGCTTTATTACCACTGCTGAGCTAGGTGAGAGGACTGAGCAGTCACAGGAGATGTATGAGGAGGTCAGACGGTCAATTCCCCACAGTGAAGAGGTCTCGATACGCAAACAAATTCTCCCAGTCATCCATAGTGTTGCTGTGGTCTGCTGTAAAACTCTTACTGCAGATTATTAGCTTTGAATACACAAATGGTGGAAAAACTGCATTTGATGTGTGTTTTTGAAGCTAACGCGCTAGCAGCTTCCAGCCTGAAAGTTACATAACAGCCTGACTGGTGTTACTTACCACATCCCCTCTTTAAGACTGTGCACCCCTCTAATTTGTTTGGAAACCTAAACTCCTGGAATAAGGGTTCCAGAAATGTGAAAACCTAAACGACCAAATGGGGATGAAAAACAAGGAAATCAGCTTTAATAGTACTTTGGAGTTCTTTATAATCGATTTCTCACTGATGCCCTCGTTTAAAGTCTCATGATTTCCTTGCCTCCAAAGAAAACACCACTTCAGCTACTTTGTGTTTGTCAGTCCACTAGTATTATTCGTTCCCTGTACATCTGTGGGGTATAAATAGTAACTTAGAGGAACCTGGTAAATGAGGGATAACACTGGAGGTAAATATTTTTACTCTGAACATCCACACAGGCAGCACTCACAGCACCGCAGTATACGTCTGGCGCTGTGGGAGTCACATAAAACAGGCAACATGAGTGCTGGGTTTCCAGTATTTGCCTCAGTCAATTGACGGTAGCTCAGTAGTTTGGGCCCAATTGGCCGAATCGTGGATAAGCCTAATTGCTGGTGTGATAGAGAAAACAGCTCCATTCCCTTGTCAAGGCTTATCGCGGAGGCCTGAGAGATGCCGGATGATTGCAGAAACAAAGCATCGGGCCACACTGACAGACGTCTGGCAGTGCCCGCGGCTAGGCAAACAAAACCCAGTCTGTGACTCTCTCGCTGTGTTTTCACTGTGTGAGCTCTGTTTCAGAATCTCTATCACCTCTCAGTAACGTCCTCTCTCCACCTCCGTTGTAGACAAATACTTTTCCTTCCTCTCCCCCTTCCCCTTCCTCTTTTACTGTCTCCCTCTCCGTCTCTTATACTCACATAATCAGACCTCAGTTGCCTTGTCTCTCTGCACCTTCATGAGACCTGAAAAACTTGCCATTGTTAACACTTGGTAAATTCCACTATAAAACATTATTTCTGCATGAGGTTTTCCACATAATTCCTGGGTCAACTGTTCTGACTCATGAAGTGGAAAAGACAGCTACTGCTGCAAATAGTAAAAGGCCTTCATGAATGAGGTTTGGGTCTGTGCACTGATGTAATTTAATGACTGCTGTTTGCAGTCATTTTGCACACTAATTACACTGTGATTGTTTCCCCTTTACTGCTGTAATGTGCTTACACAGCCCTTAGTTTGTACACAGGTCTTAATTGTTATTTTCTGTATCTTAATGCCTCCTGCTGCAAAAGCTCACTTTTGCCACAGGGATCATCAAGCTTGCATCTTACACTTAATCTTATGTTGAAAGGTTGGTTCACCCAAATTAAAATACACATTTTTTTTCTTCCCTTCAGTGGTGCCAATGAGCCATACAGGTAGTCCTTTTCCCATGTTTAGAGGTTCTTTTTTTCAGGTCTCTGAAGGTAAACTTTGTTTGTGTAGACTTATACTGTATGTAACAGTGACATTTCTTTCTTCGCTGCTCGCTGTTTGCTATGTTTCCGTTGGAATGACTTTCTACTAAAGAAACAGTTCCTCAGAAATCTGCTAACAGTGACATCAGTGGATTACCCAGAGCAACCGGGGCATTGATATGTTGCTGTTGGATGTTTTTGATGAAAATTTCAATGCTTTGTTTAATCACAGTGTAATTGTGGCAGGATAAAACCTAAAATCATATTCCCATTCATGTGTCCTATCCTGATCCCTTCTGTCCTCAGATGTAAACGAGTGCTTGAACCAAACGATGTGCGGTCATGGTAGGTGTGTCAACACTGAGGGCTCCTATAGGTGCAACTGTTTCCAAGGCTACCAACTCTCACCGGACAACATTTGCCAAGGTAACTATCTGTCAGGAGATCAGTCAGACATTATTAACATCCCAGTTCAAAGTAAGAGCTCTGTGAATAGTTCTCCACAGTGCTACTATACAGAAGCCTTGCGGCGCCATTGAAGGTTCATAAAGAGGCTACAAAGAGTTAGCAGTTGCCTTTATTTTCTGAGGCCCCCTTTTTTATCCTCTCTATCTTCTCCCCAGATGTGGATGAGTGTGTGCTCCCGGGAGTCTGTCTCCACGGCCGCTGTGTCAATCTGGACGGCACCCACAAATGCACCTGTAACCATGGTTACCAAGTCACCTCAGACAGCAAAGCTTGTGAAGGTCTGCAAAGGATTATCTATGTAGGGTGTAACTCATCACTGCATACTCTGCTCGCGGAGCTCTCTCGACAGCAGCATAATGTCTGCAAATTGTTTCTTTTTGTTAGATGTCAATGAGTGCGCAACTGGTAATGCATGCCCTGCGGGAATTTGCATCAACACAGCAGGTTCCTACACTTGCCAGAACTGCAGGCCTGGGTTCGGACCATCTGTTGATGGACTGAGATGTGAAGGTATGAAATCTGCTGTCTAATGATTTCCACTAAACTGCACTTTTTGATCGTTTTAGATAGTGATGATTTGTCTGCCCATCTGTGGCGAATTTGCTCTTTTTGTTGTCAGATGTGGATGAGTGTGCCCAGGCTGACTTGTGTCTGGGCGGGGTGTGTGCCAACACGGAGGGATCCTACACCTGCACCAGGTGTAAGGCTGGCTACAGAGTGTCTCAAGACCGGCAGAGGTGTGAAGGTAAATCCAGTCTACAGCTCGTTCAGTATAAATCTCTAGTGCTGTTTCGACTATTTAATGACTCACTCAACACATCGGGGCGGTTTGTCAACTTGCCATTAAAACTCCTTTGCCGAACTGAATTCCCTCCACGTATTATCCAGTCTTGTAGAGATGTCTGTGCTGATCTGCACATGTTTCCCACAGATATTGATGAGTGCCAGTCCCTGTCTACCTGTGCCAACGGGATCTGTCTAAACTCAGAAGGCTCTTACACCTGTGAGAACTGCCCTACAGGGTACACAGTATCTTATGACGGGGAGCTCTGTGAAGGTTGGTTTATTACACACCACTCCTCTGAAAGGAACATCACATGTATCTTAAATTCAGACTCATAGAGCTGGTGGTGAAAGTCCTTCTTGCCTTCCTTTGTGAACTTGGAGCTTTTGTCTTGGCTGCAGAGACATCCCAGTCCTGCAGAGAATATCTAACAGTGTATGTTGTTTCACGCCAGATATTGATGAGTGTGCGCTGCCCACTACATGCCCCCAGGGAACATGCACAAACACAGGGGGTTCCTTCACATGTATCGTCTGTCAACCCGGTTTCAGAGTCTCTGAGGATGGACAACAGTGTGATGGTGAGGCTATTGTCTGTGTTTGTGCAGGAATGTGCTTTGTTATGTTTGTATGCTTGAACACAGGTGTGTGTAGCCTCTTCTATTCAAGCATGCCAGATCATGCTTTAATACCCATCAAAGCTGCGGTTAAGGGTGAATGTGCCAGCTCTCTGGAACATCTTCCCCAGCTGGGATAGGTTGTATGTAAACAGCATCAGGTGTGACAGCTTGGACTAAAAGCCCCTTCATCTGTGCTCAAAATCCCAAAATACTCCTTCTAGACATCACATCATAGCTGGATCCTGGACCCCTCCGCCTCTGGCACCGCTCATTTAATCCTTGCTCAACACAATGAGACACCAGCCCTCAAATAGAACAGGATGATGTCAGGCGAATGTCCTGCAGATAGCTCAGCTAAAAAGACAGAGGTGTCGACATTTGTAATTCCATGTTCCAGTGATTACTGATCTAACTGATTACAACTGGCGGGCTTTATTTATTTGAAGCCAGAGATGATAATCTGTGCTATGATGTGTCTGTGTATCTGTGCCCAGATGTGGATGAGTGCTCGGTGCCTAACGCGTGCCCAGGCCAGCTGTGCTTGAACACCCCGGGATCCTACACCTGCAGGAGCTGTGGAGCCGGCATGCAATTGACTGAGGACGGATACAGCTGTGAGGGTAAGACTGCATAATGTATTTACCTACCTGACTTAGGAAAGCTTTAGCTGCCACTATCGTGAACATTGGACCAAAGTTACAGTAGACCACAGTAATAGAGGACCACGTTAGACCTAGAACATGATTACAGAAAATCTTTACAGTACTCAGTAATTTGTCATGACATGATTTATGAGATCAATGCAGCGAAACGGCTGCTTTGACGAATCCAGGGAGGTTAGATCTGTCATGACTTCATGGGAAGCAGAAAAGGAATGATTATTTAAATGGATTCAAACATGGCCTCAGTTAGTCATATATACCGCGGTGTGTTTTTCAGTGGAAGTGTGGATGTAGCCCGAGAGGAAGATCCCCCACTGATATGTGTCTTTGCTCTGGGAAAAAGTTTTACAAAACAAGCCCGAGTCCAAGTCGGCCTCTGATAGGATTTTAATGGATGTCTCTGATGCCATGGAAAATATTAAGGGCTTAATTTGAAATGAAGTCAACCACTCCCCTGCCTTCCATGTACTGCAGCGAGCTCGCCCTGTTGAACTCGCTCTGTTCACCCAAAGGCAAAACCGAGCCGTCTCAATCACTTAACAATGGCCCGCACTATTTTCTCTGTAAGAAATACAATCTGTACCGGCTCAAGGAATTTCCAATGATCACATAACAGCGAGCCAGTGACTGTTTGTAGATACAGTAATTATACGCCACCTGTAATAGCTTGCTGTTTTGGATTCAGTGACCATCCTGCATACTTATCTTTCCACTCTTTTTAATAAAACACTGTCAGTGCGATCTAATAAAGAGGGCTTTTCTTACTCTATGTTTGGCTGAGTCACACCAAGCCATTAACAGTTTTTAACAGATAAGAGAGTGAATTATCAAAAAGTGGACTCTTTAGAGGTCCCTTTACTTAGTACGATAACCTATAGCTAACCTTTCCCTCTTCTTCTTCTTCTGTCTCTCAGACATCGATGAGTGCCAAACCCCAGGTGTGTGCCCCACGGGTGTTTGCACCAACACAGAGGGCTCCTTCTCCTGCATGTCCTGCGACCCAGGCTTCACGGTGGCGCCCAACGGGCTCTCATGTGAAGGTACGGTACAGTGGGTGGTTCGCTGTGGTCACTGAAATTTACGATGGCTGCGCAATCCATTTCACAGTCATCTGTTCCAACGCACTATAGTAAGAATAAGTCATTACTCGCTGATGTAGATGATGCATGACTTTTCTGACATGTTCACTGTGGTCTGGAAGCTCTTCATCCATATGACAAAACTTGGGCAAATTTGAAGTGAGACCCAGTGATTTACAGCTGGTGTGAATGTGTCATGCCGATGACGTCTGTGTATGTGTCAATACAGATGTGAATGAATGTGATGACACTAGCCTGTGTCTCGGAGGCCAGTGCACCAACAGCGACGGCTCTTATAGCTGCTCCTGCCCTGCTGGTCTGGAGCTGGTGGATGGGACGTCCTGCAGAGGTATATATATATATGTACACACGCACACACACACACACACACACACACACACACACACACACACACACATACTGTATGTACTGTGGATCATGTGACACATAAAACATACCATTAGTGGTTAACCGTTTCTAGCGGCTTACCTCATATTGGCATCTTGACACAGTGGTGTGTGTATGTTTGTGCTTGTGTGTGACAGATATCAATGAGTGTTTAACCATTGTGGGAATCTGCGGAGAAGGAGACTGTCTGAACACTGAGGGCTCCTACTCATGCATCTGTCCTGATGGATATACCACCATTGATGGAAGGACCGGCTGCCAAGGTGCAGTAACACACTGCAGCATGAACAGTAACAGCAATGGGAGATTATTTTTTAGATGAATTTTATGGGCTTTGTGTAATTGGGTGAGGCAGAGTCAAAAATGGAGAAAGTTGGTAATAATGTAATAATGGTTTTTAGCACATATTGCTCAAGTCATTTTACAGTAACCTTGTTGGCTTGGACACGTTTCTTCATTCAGTGCAGGCAGGCTGACAGACAGAGTGTCCTAACCATGCTGCCCTGGGTGCTGAGGCCAGGCCTGGGACCCCTGGCATGGGTGCTCAGGCTAGCCTTTCTGTGTAATGGACCATGTCCTCATCAACTGTCTCAGCTCACTCGCTCTCAGCTCGGACATCAGTTTGATGTTATTCCAGCCGCACCCAGTGACCCTCTGGTCACAGCGATGGGGGGAAAAAAATGTAGCCTGATCATCAGCAAAGGAAGACTTTTCTTTTCAACAAACCGGAGCATTCGCTGTCAAAATACATGAAATAACTTTGGCTAGGATGTCAGAATTGGATCAGTGTTATTTCTGCTGGGTGTTGTGGGTAAGAGGTGAAGTTAAATAAATAGAGGGCTGTCTGGCAGTGAAATATCCTGTCATGATATGATGCAGGTAGGGTTGGATCTCTGGGTCCAGGACCCTGTGAGACCCTGGCTTGGTGCTGTAATGGCTGAGAGTAAGAGGACTTGGGTCCCTCCTTGCACAGGGACATTCTTCCACTGAGGGTTTTGGCCTTGGAGTACCTTAGATATCGTCTGCAGACTCTAAGCAAACTGCCCAGCCTGCATCAGGTACTTTGGCTGCTTGCCACAACAAATACAGGGCTCTAATTATCCTATAAATCAGCAGTTGTCGTATATTTTCTTGCAGTCTGCCATTGTGTGTACGGTGCTGACACAATAAAAGCCAGACCCCTCTGACATGAGCCTGCAGGGGAAGGTGAAGGGAAGATGAGGGTACGTGAGTTTATGGGAATGAAAGCGGGGTTTAGTCAGGTGAGGCCAAAATGATGCTTGGCCTCAACCTGGCCAGTCTTTCAGCAAAAACAGAACACACATACTAAAGGACTGACAGCAGACTGAAACACATCTAAACTTAATCCAAATCATCAGGTTGTGCCATAGACTTGCTCTGCCTTTCAATACAGGCTTTGAAGCCCTTGAATTAACTCCAAAGATATCCAGTCACAGCATATTTATGTGTTTACTTATAGTCTGGAGCATTGATTTTTTCCCCCCTCCCTATCTTTTGCAAATGGGTGTTTACCTTGTCGTCTCTGAAAGATTCATCTGATTATCAAAGGTTGGGAAAGGAAGACAGGCTTTGATTAATTTTCTCTCCGCTTTCCTGCCTTTTCTTCCACCTTTTACCCCAGGTCCAAGTACCGTATAAGTTATGTTGTAATGCTGCAATTATCCACCAATCTACAGGTAATCAAGCATATAGCGTTCATTATTAATTCTTACGAGTCGGAGGGAAATGTTCTCAGCCTGAAAAGCTGAGGTAGAGGTTTTTTCTCCCCTTGTTTCCTGTTTGCCAGTACACCGATAAGTGCTCCAAATGGCCCATGCATCTTGTGTTCAGACAAGCGCTTGATTACACATTCTTTTTGTGCTACTTATGAAAAAGAGCGGTTTTCCCTGTGGATTGAATGAAGGCAGAGGATATATGGGGATATTTAATGATAATCAATATGTAACAAATCTCAACCCCAATTATCTCTCTTAATTAGTCCGTCTTTCTTTTGCCCTTCTCTCTGCCTTAGATGTGGACGAATGCAGCAAAGACAACGTGTGCATTCGGGGGAACTGTCTCAACACTGATGGCTCTTTCTTGTGCTTGTGTGAGGCTGGTTTCAAGTTCAACGCCGACACGGCCGACTGTGAAGGTAAGACGGAATGAAACTCTCATACGATGTCCTGTTGTGTATGTCATAGTGATGATTGATCCCGGAAGTTTCTTCTCTCTGAGCAAACCAACATGTCAGCATTAGCTGTTTGATCGCCATGCTGCATTTCGGCTGAGGCGTACAGTTGGATATGATTGATTATCTATAGCCAGTCGGGACTGGGCTCCAGTGAAAGTGTCCAAGCCTGGCTTAGAGGTTTTTCCTCCATAGCTTCAGGACTCAGGGGTGCCTGGATTACGTGGCTGGAGCCCTGAACTCCCTCTCTCCCGAGGGAAGTATGAATGACCCCATTGTGAGCAGGAGGTGTTTCTCCCTCTGGAACGTCTCCCTTTAGCTCCTTCACAAGTTCTTTAGTTGCTGTGATAATATTGTTCTTGGCCACTCCTGTTGCCTGCTGCGTTTACTGAGGACAGCTACACCACAGGCCCCCTGGCCGACTCCTGCTGTACAGCCATTACGCTGGAAGCTGAGGAGCAGTGGAGGGAATAATACTGTGTGTGCGGGGGTGCGTGTGTCCGTGTTAGAGTCTGATTGCACATGTGGTTGTGTTTGTGCCTCTGTTTGTCAGTCACTAACCAACATCTGTCTCTCTCTCTCTTTCCACAGACCAGGATGAGTGCAAAGAGTTTGGAGGCTCAGTGTGTGGTACCTGGCGCTGCGAGAACACCATCGGCTCCTACCGGTGCTTCATGGGCTGCCAGCCAGGCCTTGAGGGAGAAGACACCACAGACTGTGGTGAGTGGTCAAACCACATACAGTTAAATACTAGCACATACAATTATGTTCAGAAAAAATGTGCAGCCCAACTGTCTTCAGGCCCAAAAGAATGAGCCTACCTATTCTTGTAGCATACATGTTCCCTAATTCAGTCCATTTACCATTCATGCTGTAGTTAAAGATAGACAGAGAGAGAATAGAGAGTAGCCTCAAATCAACTCACCACTCCACATACTCTTTACAGCTCTCCCTCCTCGCAACGTTAATGATATCTGCTTGGCACGCAGACACAAAGGGGCCGATGTGAATCAAAAGCTATCAGGTTCTCCAAGTCCTCCCGCATAAGAGAGCATGGGGGAGATGAGGTGAAGTGGCCCCTGAAATTGGGGCACTTTAGAAAGAAGAGTGCACTGTCACTGGAGGCAGTGTGTGAGGCCAGCAGCCGATAATAGTCTCATCCTTCTGACAACGGAGCTAATGGAGTGCCTCTGGCAGAGACACAAGGTGGAACCTGATCACTGCTGTTCTCCTTTTGTGAGGGGATACGATTGTCAGGCCGGCTTATACGGTCCCTTACTTCTTTGTACTCCCTATGGAGGAGCCCGGTCACCCGCGTTTGCTGGCTAGGTTTGCAATTATTCTACATCTAGGCCCGCAACTGGCCAACAACAACAGACACATCTCCATGACCTCCCGAATACATGGAGCCTTACTATGTGTTTACTGGCAGGATTAGACACCTCGGGCTCGAGACATTAATGTGGTTTGTTGCACAACGATGTGAGTTTATCTCTCTTTATTTTCTGGTGCTGCGTTGCTTCCCTTTGTTGCTCTCACAGAATCATAAAACAACAAGTTGGGTTTATGAGAGACAAAAACAAAAGGCCAAATATTTTGCTCTTATTAAGACGGGATCCAAACAGTCATCGGAGAGTGACAGGCGAAGAGGGGAAAGCAGTCTGAGAGCACCGGATTGGAATGATGTGTTGGACTGAAGCTGGAAGCTTTGGGTGTTTGTGGGTGATTGTCTGTGTATGTGAGTTTGAGTGTGAGTGTGTGTGCATGTGGTTGACTGCGGGTTTTTTTGCATCCTTGCTCGTGTGTTTGTGTTAGAGAAAAAGGACCAGAGACTTTAACGATTTTGTAGAGATTCACTCGGAGTTTGGTGCAGCTTCACATATTCTCATAACCCCGAGTTTTTATTGGACAATCAACAGATGGAGATCAGGGGGGAATATGCTGCTGCAGCGCTGATCAGAGGCAGATCGGACCTGCGCCCCCTCCATCACCCTCATCCCGGCTACGTGCCACTGACTCTTCACTGCACTTTATAACGTTGTCTGTCTGGCACCAGCTGAAGGGTTCAGGGGCCTGTAGTGTGATAAGGGCAGATTGAAACCAGCTGTTCACCTCAGCTCCTCTAGAGTCCAAACACATCAGTGTAGTACGCATTGGTGTGTGATTTAACTATGTCCCTGGCAAGTGTAACAAGAGACAAAGGCTTCCACTGACTTATTATATGCTATATGTCACACATCATCCTACCTGACATGTCCCGTGGAGCATGATGAAATCTTTAGGTGGGACCTGATTGAAACAGCTTCACATTGTCCCCTATGGCGTCACAAAACTCCCAGTTTAACGTGTTTGTATGGTTGCCCAGTTATGACCACGTCTGACCATCTTCTCTCCCTGTTGCTATGTTGGGACGCCAGCTGCTCGTGTTTTCACTAGACCCCACAACAAACACTCAGCATTGACTCACAGCCCCAGTTTGAGAACCAAGCCCTCTTACCCTCAGAAGCCCGACACTACACACAATAGTGGCTTGTTTCACCTCACGATGGGAAGTTGTGGGAGATGCTGCCGTCACCCCAATAAAAGTCCAGGGAGGGAGCTCGATTACTCTGGGGCATTTTTGTCTGCTTGTAAAAATCATCAAATATTTAAGAAGAGGCCAGACGTTGTAATTTGCTGTTTCTGTGAGGGGCGTTGTTTTATTTTTACTCACCGGCCTTTCGAAGGGGCAGCGGTTGTCTTTGGCTCTGGTCGCAGTGCTCATTTAGATTTAGAGGCCATGATACAAAAGGGAAAAACAGGGTTTTTTCCGCAGCAGCGCGTCAGCCACAACTGTGCTATGAGGGCTGCACTCAGCCCCGCCACGTTACTGTACACAGTGGTATGTGTGAATGACTGAATGTGTGTATTCCCAGGTTATTGTTTTTAGCTTTAACTCAACATCATGCTCATAAATTCCCTCAAGCTATGCCTTGTCTTTAATAAGACTTGCCCAAGGGAGGAAATTGTCTGTGGTCACACTCTTGCCAACCTCCCGCCCCTTTAAACGTATGGAAATCTAAAGACTTTACCATGTGTGTGTGTGTGTGTGTGTGTGTGTGTGTGTGTGTGATTGCTCACGCCGTTGTGCAGACATAAGATGATGTTTTTTCATAGAACCACACACACAATATGATAAAGTCAGATAAAGCGCATTAACATGCTTCACTGAAAACAAATACCTCACCTCAGCTTTGTCCAGTCGCATCTGAAGTAACCTCTACATATGGGTCCAATCACACAAGGGGTTGCCCAGAGAATATGGGAGAGGTGTAGGCTGCGGAGGGTGAGCCAACAGTCACTGATTCCCATATACACGTTGCCTGCCACCATGTGCTCTGGATTAACACATGGCACAGAGACCAACACTTAACCTCCCTCCACTCCCCCCCAATCCTGGGTCAGACCATGAGGATAGGTGCATATTGGGCCAGGGTCGCCCCTTAACCTCAGTTTCTCTCATCTCAGCTCAACTCCTTACCCTCTTCCCTGCCTCAGTTCTTCCCTGCGGGTAATTTACAGCGCTGCAAGTGTCCTAACGTTACTCATTATTGCATGGAAAGACTAAGAAAGGCGATCCCGTGTCCTGCTGGTGTGAGACTCGCTCTTGGAGTTATCTCATTTTGTATTATTCATTTTTTCCCACAAACCATTAGTGCTGTCTATGATGAGCAAGCTGACTCTCTCCGCTTGGATGACAGATCTGAATGGCTGGTCAAGCAGTGCTGCTACTAAAACACAAACCAGAGTCAGATAGGCAGAAAAAAACAAAGGCCATTCAAATTGTTTTGGTCTCGATGCTCTCATTCCTCTCTGGGATGATACTTTGATTGCGTCTCATCACAACATGTGGTTCGCAAAAGATTTTGTTCCACGTTACACATGAATGAAAAGCCGCCTGCAGACACTGATTATTTCATATATTAGCAGAGAGCTTTCATCGCCTTCCTCTCAGACCTCCCAGCTGGCGGCCGCTGTCATTCCAACATTCCTAACTCCACTTAAGTGCTTCACACTTGAGGAAACGTTCCTCAAACTCTCGATACACAATACCCTTCACCTTACTCTCAGAATATTCTTGATAGAGCTTTGGGAATATACTTCTCATATTTTTCAGTTACATGCAACATATTAAAGTGTCCAAAAAACTACGCCACTTCTGCACTATTTCGGCATCTCACTCCCCAGCTGCAAAATGCAAATCCGATGGGTTGGCGGTTTTCAGTATGTGTCCATCCATTCCTCCATGATCTCGCAGCCATTTGAGCCCACAAGTCTATTCTAGAAATTTTGGTCCTTTACAGCAATTCCCGTGAAAGGTTTTTACAAATGACAAAGACAATTTTGTCTCTGCAGTTTTATAAGCTCGTGGGAGCCCCTGTCTCTGACCCCAGAGGCATGTTAGAGAAGTGGCCAAGTCAGGACAGGAACACTGACAGAGGACGAGTCCCCCAGCAAGCCTGAGAAAGCAGTTGTCCGTGTTGGAGGGGAAGACAGGGCTCTGGCCAAGAGCACTGTTCAAATCAAATCAAATCGGTTGTGGTTTCCCTGGCCCTCTTCCTTCCTTTCTTCAATGGATACAACCTTTATGAGTGCTCAGAGGCAAAATAAAACTGCTTTAGACAACATGTGAATGACAGAACATCAGTTTGTTTTAAACATCTGAGCTTTTGTCTTAACCGAGCAGACGTGTCCAGAATGAGCTTTACAAGTATGAGGCTGTTAAGTGAAACTGATCAAATTGTAATTTAATTATTCAGGTTGTTGTGATTTTATTGTCTGAATTTTTTCCATATTTGAAATAGGTTTTCCTGTTTTTCTAAAACTTGTAGCCACTCCAGAGGAGTTACTATTAGTCATGGAAACTCTGAATGGAATGGCCATGGAGGGTTGTTATGAAACTCAAAAGTCAACAAAGTCATGGTTATGATAAAACAGACATAGTGGTGTGTCCTCTAATTTCATCAGTGCAGTTCATATCAAATGATAGGCCTGTCTGTCATAATATTCCCCACTTGACTTTCAGGAAATATACAAGCACTGACTCAGTGTAACTACAACACTGGCTGAATGGATTTTTCTAACTGTTTTTTTTTTTTTTTTTTTTAAACTGAAAAGAACAAGATGTCTGTTTATGCTTTAAAACAAGTAAACTGTCACTAAAATCTACAACTCAATAGAACTGAAAAACTCAATAAAATCTTACTTGTCAAGAAACAGTTATGTGAAGACTGACCGGTGGCAAGTCTAACTGACCAGAGGACAAATTCACGTGACTAAAGTGTGATCATTAATGTCTCTGACTGTTTTTTAAACAATTATAATCAGACCTGCCCTCCAGCAGTATCAGTCTTTGGCCTCTCTGCTGCACCCGAGACGCCAAGAAATACTAAATCGTGTATGTCAGAAATTGCTAACAAATGTTGCCTTTAGACAGTGAGTGGTAGGGAATCAGCAGTGCCGTTACATGGTCCAGTGTTAACTGTCTCCATATCCACGTCTCTCTCTCTCTCTCTCTCTCTCTCTCTCTCTCTCTCTCTGTCTCGCTCTCGCTCTCTCTCTGCACATACACTGACATATAGCAGCGTTGCTCCACTGGGTTTATTAAACTTGCTTTATGATTTATTGCCATGCAAAGAAGGAACTGTTACGGGCTGCCAGCTGCCAGATTTGATTACTGACTACCATTTTGGGCCTAAAATCAAGTCTCGCAGTATCCTCACAATCCTTTCATAGGAGCATTTTAATTTTTAAGGAAATCTACAGCTGATGTATAACAAATCAAATGGGTTTAAACAGATTTCATTGATTACAATGGAAAGCACTTCCTGCCAGAGCACTGTCAAAAACCTCTTCACAACAAATCTGAACTTTCAGCCATCTTTCTCCAGCTGCTTGTAAAGTGTCTGGGAGAATGCAGAATGCTGGCTGAAAGGCTGTAAACTCCTCCATCGCTTACATTTTGCCAACGTCCCAGTGACCTAAGTGTCACTTCTCACTCCATTAACACAACCAGAAAACATTCACTTGGAGCTTTCCAGATCCCAGTACATTCAGATGCACTGTACTGACGCAGAGAGAAAGTCTCCCTGAATTAATTGACAAACACCACAGTTTGAAAACCCCCTTAATGAATTGTCTTATCACTGCACTGCGTCTAAGATGTTATGATGGAAGTGCTTTCTGTTGTTATTGTAAGGTCAGAATGGTAGAGATGTTTATTTTGGATAAGCAGTGCTGTGTTTACCGAGGCAGTTTGAATGTCTATTGTGCAGACGGACACTGTAAATATTAACGTTTCGCTCACCTCTCTGTGTGCACAGATATTGATGAGTGCCTCAATGAAACCATCTGTGGGAACCACGGCTTCTGCGAGAACACAGATGGCTCCTTCCGCTGCCAGTGTGACCAAGGCTACACCAACCCGCCGGGAGACATGAGCAGATGTGTTGGTGTGTAGCTGCTCTCCGATAAATATTCACGATAAGCTAAAGGATGAGTCTGGTGATATTTTTCTAGTTTCTTATTGTCAACGAATCCATGAAAATAAGAAAACCAGCAATGAACTGAGCCTATTTTCTGTGTAGCCAAAGCCTGATGGAGCTTTTCTCATCGGTGCCACAGAACATCATTGTTGTTTAAAAACCGAGTCAAAACACAATTGTGAGTCATAACATTGCAGTGGATGACATGTTGCTTTAATACAATGAGCGTGGGCACTGTAATGTCTTGTCTTTGACTCGGTCCCGCACACTGTCCTGCTGCCATTGATACTCACAAGAACGACTAACATGTAGTAATCTGCAGGTGTTGATAGTCCATAACAAAAGCACAATTTTTCCTGTTTGAGCAATGCTTACTAAAAACTACAGTGCCCAGCTGATTTAGGAAATTATCCAGCCTTTTTTGAAAATCAAAGTATATATTTGTACCCATACTAAGATTTACATCTTCAGTAGGAACCGAGACATACCAACATATTGTTGGTTGCGGTTTTTTTGTGGGATTTGTTAACAATAAAAAAAATTGAGAAAATCACCAAACTTCATCTCCAACTTCATGTTGGGTAACTTTTACTATATTTAGCAAATTTGAACAACTTACAGCGTTTTATATTCGTCAGATATCCATTGGGAAAAAATGTCTGTACAAATCTATAGTATACGGTACTTAATAAAGAAATGTATATATTTATAATTCACTTTTTCACGATAGATATAATTTCATTAACGATAAAGATGGTTATTTCGTGCCTATGCTTTTGCACAACCTTGCCTTGACCATGTTGAGCACATTCCTGTGCGTCCTGTGCCTGATCCTTTGCCAACCTCATGCCCTCCTCTCCCTCTGTCTTTCGCAGACGTGAACGAGTGCGAGATGAGCTTGGCGCTGTGCGGGGAGGCCCTGTGTGAGAACGTCGATGGCAGCTTCCTGTGCATCTGCCCCAACGACAATGAGGAATTTGATCCCATCACCAGCCAGTGCCGCTCCCTGGGTAGGACTAGCGCTCACAGTGACTCACAGGACTTAATTCTCCATCCCATCGTTGGGAGACGGAGTTTTCCCTGATTTAATGAGCCGTCTCTCATTATCCAAACAACAAGGGTGACGAGGTGGACATTACTTACTCCACGTCTCTTAGAGTATCTTTTGACCTGGCTCTTTCCATTTGTTTTATAGGCTAGAGTTATGGTTGGGTGGGTTGCCTACAAAAATTTGTATTAGCCTAATCCTTCAGACAAATGATGAAATAACTCCTCCAGGAGAGCCAAGCAAATGCCCCAAGGCCCTAGTTACTGTAAACCAATTTCCCCACCAAGACAAACAAGGATAAGGTGTAGTTATTGGCAATTACCGCCAAAGACACATTGCTCTCTTCCATGTTCAAATGAGCGTCAGTGCAGAGGTTACAGATATGCAATATATTGCAATTTCAGAATGACAGAACGAGCCTTTTGAGTCATGGAAATACCATCACATCTCAGGCTTGATAGGCGTATGTGTACACGAATTGGGCGTATTTACATTATTAAGCGGCGCGCCCTCAGCGGGGATGTTTTTTCTTCTGCCTGGGCACTAAACCCCAGCTATGCCTTTGTGTACCTTTTTGCCACATTCCGCTGTTTGCTTTCGACGTGTGTTAATCAATCATGTGAGAGTGAATGGTGTGTTGACTCACATGCCAGTGTTTCCATTTGGCTAAGCCAGCAGCTTAAGGGCGAAAAGCCTAAGCCCTTGCCTTTGGACAAATGAGCAGGCTCAGCAGTGGCAGGCGAGGGTAATGCACTACCTGCCGGAGGCATGTGGACACACTCTGATGGATGAAGAGCAGAGGCCACCTGATGCTGTTGCTGTGTGATGATGTGCTACTGAAGTGCCAGAGCTACTGTAACTTTATGTCCTCGGTGATCCCACCTCAATAGGGAGATTTAAGTTCAAGCATTTCTGTCAGTGAGCATTTGCCAAGTTTCCTTTTCTGTAGCTAACCGTGACCTCTGACCTCCCTGAGCTGAAGAAATACTGTCTTTGTCCATGTACCACAGATACTACCCCGGAAGTCGCTCCTGAAGTCCCTCCATCTGCTACCTCAGCTGAAGAGAGGAAGGAGTGTTACTACAACTTGAATGATGCCAACTTCTGCGACAACGTTTTGTCTCGCAACACCACCAAGCAGGAGTGCTGCTGCACGGTGGGGGCGGGCTGGGGGGACAACTGCGAGATCCACGCCTGTCCTGTCCCGGGAAGAGGTACAACAAGAGGCAGATGAACTGTATTGAGACTTTATAACCCTTTCATTTTACTAATGAAGCCATTTCTTATTTTTCAGATGATTATAACCAGTTGTGCCCTCATGGTAGTGGATTATTACCTCTGCCTGTTTCTTCTACACAAACTCTGGGAGAACAGCGTCCTTACATAGGTACTCTCTCTTTCATTAATGCTAACTTGTTTTATTGATATATATTTGAAAAAGGTGCAATGCCCTGTTTTATTTCTACCTGCAGCAACTTTTAATGCCAGATAGATAGACTTAATCTGTTACCATATTTACGAGGCTGCCTCTACAGCTAGCCAAGGCTTAATGAGATGCCTGCATACCTGATTAATTACCATAATCGTGGTGATCCCTAACTGCGTCTTACAAGAGGAGTGAATGACATTAGAGGCAGGTGGCCAGTGTTTTTGAAAGCAGAGTTGTTGGTTTCCATTTCACCACTTATGAATCTTTCTGTCTCCCCTCAGATGCAAATGAGTGTGAGATGTTTGGATCAGACATTTGTAAGAATGGACAGTGTTCAAATCTCTTCTCTACCTACACCTGCTACTGTCGCTCTGGCTTCTACTACGACAACATCCGGCTTGAGTGTGTGGGTAAGAAATGACATCTGTTTATACTTTTTAACATTTGAAGACATTCATATGACAATAACAGATGAAGTATACTCCATCCATTTAGCATCCTCAACCAATAGGCAACAAAACCCACCATATACAGAAAATCTTATTTAGTGGCATCAAAAAATGTATAAGAAATGTAATGTTGCCGATCTTTTAAACTCATATATGGTCTATTTTGAGTAATCATACTGATGTATTAAAATATAATGAATTACTACTGATGATTAATGTCTGCCTCTCCTTATTTGTGTGTTTTTAGATTACGATGAGTGTGAATTTGGAAATGCCTGTGAGGATGGAGCGTGTGTGAACACGGCCGGCTCTTTCAACTGTTTCTGCAGTCCTCCATTAGTCTTAGACAGCACACGGCGCCGCTGCATTGGCCTCAACACCACAGAGGGTGCGACACACACATCCACACAAAGACACACACACATTTGTTTATTTTTCAATCACTCAGTTTGTTGATAGTTGCGAAATTAACCTGCAGCTGTTTTGATAATCAAATCGTTTTCAAGGAAAAATGACAAACACTCTGTGGTTCCTTTTTCAGAGATGAATCATTGGAAATTCAGTATCTTTGTATATGGGTTGCTGTTCATGCAAACAAAGCATTTCAAATACAATTTGTGCTGTGGGAATTTGTATTTGGTATTCATTTTAGTATTTTCAGATACTCTATAGATCATTCAATCAATGAATTCATTGAGAAAATAATCTGCAGCAATAATAAAAATAACTAGCTGTGGGGTCTAGGCTAATGATTTTCCCTCTGAGGAAGCAGAGGGAACAGTACAACAGGGTGTGTTGAACTTTGCTTCTGTACAGTAACAACAAGAGGTGGGGAGTTCATTGTCTGTAATGACATATTCAACTTTGTCAGCCTGTTCAGCTGCTTTGCCGTGGGTGGAGGTGGGGTTCAGTCCAGTTCGTAGAGCTGCATATGGCAGTTCTTATTGCAGTGAGCGACTGCAATGGACAGTTTGGATGTCTTCGCTTGCTTTTTTAATCTCTACTCATTCTGTCTCCCAGAAACTATAGAGCCTGATCACGATGTGCACATGGATATTTGCTGGCAGCGTCTGGAGGACGACAACATGTGTGCAGAACCCCTCCAGGGACGCAGGACGACGTACACTGAGTGTTGCTGCCTGTACGGCATCGCCTGGAGTGGACAGTGTGCATTCTGTCCCAGGAGAGACTCTGGTGAGAAGCATGGATGAAGACAGTGTTTACTCTTTATATTAACACATCACTGTTATTGATATCCAATATATAACCCCTCCCTGTGTGCTATTGTATTCAGATGACTATGCAATCATGTGCAACCTGCCCCGGAGAGGAGGTTCAGACAGCCTGCGGGAGCGGCAAGGATACGAGTACGGACTTGAGGGGCCAGAGGATACCGCAGAGCCTTTTGTTCCTCCATACTGGGACAGTTACGGCAGCCCTGCAGGACCCTATGACATTCCTGAAAGCGTTCCTCTCTTCAACGACAATGACTACAGCGTTCAACAGCCACCTGTCCCAGTCCCACGACCACGGGAGCACCAGCCACGACCAGTGGATTCTTATGCAGGTGGGTATATGCATGTTCTTATACAAGGACACACTGTCATATGGACAAAGCTGTCAAACTCATGATTAGTGATTGCATAATGGCAAATTATTAAGAACAATGTATCAAATAACAATGTGAAAACACATTTTTTCCTTACATATTTCTTCCAGAGCGCTACGAGGGCTTTGAGGGACTCCAAGCAGAGGAATGTGGAGTCCTGAATGGGTGCGAAAACGGCCGCTGCGTGCGCGTGAGAGAAGGCTACACCTGCGACTGCTTCGACGGTTACGAGCTTGACCTAAACAAGATGGCCTGTATAGGTAGGTTCTATCCCCAGCAATCTTTGATATCTTTCCCAGAAGACCACCCACATACAGACTCTGTGCTCCAAGTAAAAATGTTCAGGGACTTCCTAGAATCAATAGAGAATCAATCACGTCATTTAATCCTGTCTCAAAATGTGGTGTTGAATCCTGAACTCAAACCGCAGTGAACTTTCCCTTCAGGTTTAAGCCTTTTGGAGCTAGGTCTCGGGTTAATTTCAGTGAGGTAACTATTCATGCAATATATCATCATGCTCAAGGAGAAGCTTTGAATTTAACAACCTTGCATTAAGTTATGTTTTATGGGAAACTAATGAAAGCGGTGTACTCCTCAAAACCACCGCGTGTTACCCTTTGGTCTGAAATTCCCTAGTTGCACGCTGCCAAGAGTAAGAAGGCCTTGAATCTTAGCCACTCAGTGTATTACATGAGATATTATATCTTTTAACTGTACTTTGTTTGTTTTGTAAGAAAGTGAGACTGTCTTGTTGTAATGAAATGCTGTGTTTACAATATTCTGTCTGCGCACAAGCTTATCAGCTCCAAGGCCAGCCATTTTCCCAAGGAAAGCGATTGAATTCCGACACTGTGGAAACATTTTGGAGCTGCGCAACTCGTGCCATGCCTCTTTTTATAAATATCACCACTAGCATTTCCCCGGCAGAACATGACATAAACAGAAGAAGGGTCATTTGAGATTGACTGCTATGAAATGACAATCAGACCTCCCATGCTGAGAAAGGGAAAGAAAAATCTCTTGAAGGCCAAAAGGAAACGTAATCCAACGCATTGTTAATTTTAACATCATTTTGAACCGTTCAGCGCTCAAGATCACTGGGAAGCAAAGTTCAGACCTTATCCAGCCGACACGCAAAATGACGGCATGTTTGATTAAAGATATACAAGATGAGATATTATGCAACATTGACAACTTTGTACCTCCAAAGCTGGACTTTTGTGGAACTAATTATAACAGCTTTGTTTATTGCTCACAAGATTGTATAAAATATTTAAAAATCTCATGTCAAGGTCCATTTAGTAGCTGTTCTGAGACTTTTGATCATCTCACATGAGCTATATCAGGACATGGAGTTTGCCCAGTTGTCGTGGAATTGTATAGAGTTGCAACTAATGATTATTTTCATTTCTGACTAATCTGCCGATTGTTTCCTCGATTAATTGTTTGCTCAAATCAATGTCTTGCTCTGACCAACCAACAGTCCAAAACCCCCAAATATTTAAAATTGATGATTAATGATGAATGATTAATGGATCAACAAAACAGTTATTTATTAATTTTGTGTAGATGTTCACATTTCGATTTTCACAATTTTCCACAGAAAAAAATCCCTTTGACTTCTCTTCTATATTAGCTTAATAGTTGAGTTTCAAAGTAGTTTTTTCTTAGAGTTTCAAGAAAAGAAGAAGAAGAAAGAAGAGGGAAAGAACAGTCAATGTGAAATCATTTGTATGAAACCTCTAATACCCATAAGGCCACTCAGCAGCAGATGTGATGCAGGCAGCTGTTTCAGCTGTGAAATCTCCCTGGTGTCTAACTCTGCATGTCTCCTTTCCCTGCAGACATAAACGAATGTGAGGACATCAGCGACAAGGTGCCCTTGTGTCAGAATGGGCAGTGCACCAACACAGAGGGATCGTACAAGTGCACCTGTTTGCCGGGCTTCGTGGCCTCTGCCCAACCACACAAATGCATCCCAACGATCCCTGAGTCTGAGCTTAGGGAGACAGGAAACTGAGACAGTGACTGTTGGAGCGCTGGCTCCTCCTGCTCCCTCAAAGATCACCTTACACACCCTTCTGCCCTCTTCCCCAAGGGCCTGGCACTAAACCTCCAACAGTAACGCTGAATCGTCCAAACTTGTTTCTCTACAGACAAACACACACACACACACGCACACACACACACACACACACACACACACACACACACTGCATTTAGCACAAAGCACATCCATATCCCCTTCATATACACTCAAGAGGACCAGGAATACAGTGCAGTGAATGTATTACATGGGATTTAGTATTCACCAGATATCCATTTGCCTTAAAGGGATTTTGTGGACTGATTTTTTTTTTTGTTCAGTAACCCCAGGCAATTTGATATACAGATATATTTCCATATTATTTCTCTGTCACTTCTTTTTTTGTTGTGTTATTTATTTCATCTACATGGCCTCTGCAAACTAAGAAAGCAACCTATTTTCAGAGGGCATACTTGGTTCCGTTTTATTTTATTTGTCTCAACAATTGATTCAGAGACAGTGTGGGGAGATAATAATTGTCTTTTCAGCCACTCATAAAACAGCTTGTACATCACTGTCAAACCTCTTAACAATATTTTCTCACTCAGTAATTGTAATTAGCTTTGGCTTTGGACTAAATGGATGCCAAGGTTGACAAACGGCACAAATTCGAAGAACAAACTTTTCCCACAGCTGCCTTTCTGTACTTCAAGATTTACTACAAGCTGAAGTTGAAGAATCTCTGGACCAAGAACTGGGAAGTCAGCACAGCCAAACTTTCACATTAAAAGCTTCAGCCTTTTACGTGGACATGGAAAGACTGTAGATGTATATGATGGTCTATGTAATGTTTTGAAAAAGGTGCAATAGCTGTAACCTGCCTTCCTCTGTTTTGAAACCATTACCACAATCTTAATACAAGCAATGAAGTAGGAAAACATGGACTCAATCCCAATTATTATTTTTTCTTTTTAACAGTATTAACATGCACCATGACTTATCGAAGTTTGATTCTAGGCTACGTTCTAGCCTTACTTCTGAAATTATAAGAAGGTACGTCGCTTGAAATCATCCACATATATCACTGCTTTAACCGTAAGATTGGTTTTATACTCCAGCATCACACAGGCAAAAGGATTTCACATTCAGCTGCAATGCAATTGGATCCCACATCTCACATCAGACCATTCCCATCTGTGCATATCTGAATGCGTGTAAAGACAAAGGCTTCGTTGGAGAGGTTTGGTTTATTTTGTACAGATCTAGTACTATGTATTATTTTTGTTACATATTCTCTTAATGCATTATAGCACAACCAATATTTTTGTTTGACATAAAGCATAAAGTGTAAGAAAAATCTGGCATTATAGCTTTGTAGATTTATACATGTCTGTAAAAATGTTTTTTAAAGCATATCTTTTTATGTATGAGGAGAGTGGCTGACACTGTACCAGAGGAACTGTGTGTATACCCTGCCCTGTGGAGCAGACAATGAAATATATTTTTTGGAAGTGGCAGCACTGTTCTAATCACAGACATTTTGTCTCTTAAAGTTCATTACAAAGACAATGCTTTTGAAATGCAAGCACCAGCTTATGTGCGTCACAACTTTATGGCTAAATATTAGTAATTGTGAACATTATTTCTTTTAGTCTCTGTTGGATCCTTTTGTCATGAATGTACCATAGACAGTATCAGCCTACTCATTTGGTTTCTGAATTCCTTCTCATCCCTTTTTGTCTTTTATATTCAGGTTTAAGAAAATGATGGCATTATTTGTCTAAAGGACTGAACTTCTCTCAAGAAAGCTCAGCAGCAACATTAAAGTTTGATTGTAACTTTGGAGGATGACTTATGCCCTTAACCTGCATTCATAAATTACAAACCTACAGTTGTACAGATGCTTCCACTTGATGTCCACTGTATTTTACTGTGCTGTTCAAATCATTGCCTGAACCGGACCAGAAGTCTAACATTTAGGACAAAGTTGGAATATTTAAAGCCTCTCAAAACCACAAATAACTAAATGATAAATGTCTTGTTGTAAATCTGTGGTCATTGGAAATATCATGCTCATTCATTTTGTTTACCTCTTGACTGTAATCACTATCAGTCATCAAAATAAAAACATAAAAATATCTGTCTCTTTGCCATGAACATTTGTTATTTGTTGTATATGGTATTCTATGACTACTAATTCATATAAAGATATTAGATGTTATTCATACAACAAGCAATGAAGTTCTTGAACAGTTTGGTGCAGGTATGTACATCACATTAATGTGTAGTAGTGATGTTGTAGGTATGTGTATTCTTTATTTAAAAAGTAATAACAATACCACAATGTGAAAATACTTTGTTGACTTTTTTAAGTAAAAGTGCAGAACTGTTATCACCAAATGTAAAACTACTTAAACTATCAAAAGTTAAAATATTTATTATACAAAATGACACTGCTCAGGGTTTTATATAAGTAAATACTAGTGTTATTAAAGTATGTAAGCAGCACTTAAATGTTTTAGCTGGTCAAGGCAGAGCTAATTTTAGCTCATTTATATGCTATTGTGTAGTTTGACAAAGCAACATCCTATGTAAGACCTTAATTTTATTTTATTTCAAATGTGAAATTCTTAATCTACAAACCACTGCCAAATAAATGTGGTGGAACAAAGAGTACACCATGTCTATAATATTTCTGTATTCGTCTGAGAGGTCGTGAAGCAGAAGCATTAAGTAGCAGAGAATGGAAATATTTAAAAGTTGTACTTACAGTACTGGAGCAAATGTATTTGACTACGGGAATGAACCGCAGACTTTATATATACAGACTGTCCTCTGGAATATAAATAAATCAGAAGTGGGGACCAGAAATATCCGTTGTATTAACAGAATCTCACATTTCACACAAAAAGAAAAGATATAGAAAAAAATACTGTGTACTAAAATAATTTATTATACCACATCTCCCTCTAGTGGTCAAATTGAACTGCGCAATCACAATCTCTGCTTTTCCAGCTGGTTTTCCACAGCCTTTCCCCATTGGCTAACCGGGGACGAGGAGCTATTCCAGAGGGATCCTGGGAAATTGTGTTTACCTTGAGATACCGTGCCCACATAAATAATACAGTGGAATACACCTCCCAGAATCCCTCTCGCTCTCTACGTGTGTCGTGGACTGGAGCTACAACCTCTCGTGTTCTTGTTGTACTGCTAATGTAAATCTTTGAATAACAAAACGATCATTTTAGCCGATAGAGAAAGGCGGGCACTTTGCTACTTATTATTATTTGGAACCGGATATTTGGTTATAAAAAGGAAGCTAGGATAAGTATGTTATAGATGAAAATGTCCTGATAGCTTGGCGACATTGTAACTAATATTATGTCTGATAATTTGTTGAGTAGGAAAGGTGTGACAGTAACTGTCAGCTTCGCCTTTTTTGACATAACGTACAATACTGACAACTGATACCTGGTTCGCCAGTGTTTAATCTTACTAATATCTATGCTAAATGTAGTATTTGTCCCCTGATAGTACAATTATACATCATCTAGACATCACTCATTAACTAACTATTAGTATATGATTTGGTACAATTGCCAAATATTGGACCTTACCTGGCTTGGAAGGGGGTCTGGTCATTTTATTCCAGGTTTTATTTCCTCATGGCAAAAGAAGAATGCATTACTCAGAGGAACAAAACAGGGGACCCTTCAACACTACGAAACAGGAAAACCTTTCCCACTTCAGAAAAGACCCTCCGCACCCCATCCACTCCTGTGTTGAAGGACAAAAACCGTCACACGACTGGACTCAAGCCAGAAGATGACACCCAGTCCTCAAATGGGACATCTGCTCAGTTATCGGCAAGAGGAAGTTTCAGTGACGAGCCACAGAACAAAGTGTTTCTGATGTTAGTGGTGGGGCTGTCCCTCTCTACACGTCTGTACAAGATAACAGAGCCCCCTCATGTGTGGTGAGTAAAGGTCCCCCCTTAAAATATGTATATATACATTATTTTGAGCATATTTGTGTGCCATTGGTTCATGACGACTCGATTCTGTGTTTCAGCTGGGATGAGACGCACTTTGGAAAGATGGGAAGCTACTACATCAACAGGACCTTTTTTTTTGATGTCCATCCGCCTCTTGGAAAAGTGAGATGGCAGATTATCTTTTTCATGTGGGGAAATCTCTTCATTATTAACCTCTTTTACTCTGTCCTAGATGCTGATAGGTCTCGCTGGTTACATGACCGGCTATGATGGCACCTTTCCTTTCATAAAGCCAGGAGACAAATATGAACATCACAACTACTGGGGCATGAGAGGAGTAAGCTGCTTTCCACACTAGAAAAACTGCTTTTTCCAATCTTCTGACAATACAGTTTGAATATATACATATAGTCTTGTCACAGTGTTAAAAAGACAACATATTATGACTGCTGATGCATCTGTCCTGCTCTTTTGATCTACAGTTTTGTGCTGTGTTGGGCTCCTTTCTCCCAGTCTTTGCCTACCTCATAGTGCTGGAGTTGTCTCAGTCTCAAACTGCTGCTCTCATCACTGCCACTCTGCTCATATTTGGTGAGTAGTTGTCTAATTGTTTAAAAAGGTTCCACAACTCAAGAACATGCTAAACAATTTCTAAACAATCCAATTTCCTGCTTTTTCCTTCTGCATATACACATTCTGAGAGCAGAGGAATAAATTCATAATAATTTTAATTTTATTTGACGTATATTTTGCCGACAACAATTTTGATGGATACCAAAAGTATACTGTATCTTAAGAAAATCTATTTAAATGCCAAACTATATTGATAGGTCTAGCACCATGAATTTATCCTGTTGTTGCTTCATTTCACTCTCCTGACAGACACTGGCTGTGTCACCATTTCCCAGTACATCCTGTTAGACCCTATACTCATGTTCTTCATCATGGCAGCAGTGCTTAGCATGGTCAAGTTCAGCCGGCAGAGGTACAGGTAGGTGGAACAGGTCGAACATTAATTTTAGTTTTATATGCCTCCACTCCGGTGACAGCCAGGGCCAGATGCATTATGTTTTCGGGTTGTCCGTCCGCCCCTGCTCTTGACCGTGATAGCTCAGTAACGCCGGGAGGGAATTTCTTCAAATTAGGCACGAAGATTGACTTGGACTCAAGGATGAACTCAAGGTGACAGTTACTTCACAAAAAAGATTTAGGCCTAATGAGCTCAATATCTTGGGAACTCCTCAAGCTATTTTGCTAAGTTAAAGGTCACTGTGACCGCACAAAACATGTTTTTAGCCACAACTCAAGACTTGTGACAACATTTCACACAAATGGTTCATATTTTCTATGAATTTGGATAAACAGGGATGTAACCTGAAACTAGTCTGAGTGAGGGAGGCAGGTTGTGTTGTACTTTTCAGTGTAGAACTGAAACTCTTACATGGTCAACAGTAAACAAATGGATGACTATTTTGACTATTTCTTGATAATTTAAATTAGTTTATTATCAATCAATCAACTAATTTTCAGGTAAAGTGCCATACATTCACTGCATGATTATTTCAAATTGCAAATAATTAATTGAACACTGCTGATATTTTGTGTATCATAAACAGATTTAAGACTCTGGGGTCTTGTGATGAACATCTGTCTTTACCTTGGGAAATTTTGCAGACTAATTAAATGATTGCTAAAAAAAATATGACAATATAATACAACAATTGTAATTAAATTCCTCAAACACTACCAGTTTCTTCCAATTAGAACAAATCTGATAATGTTTAATGGGTGGAACCTAAGCACAATATGGGATGTTGACATTTCTTCGACATTTCATCTTTTTAATAAGTACACAATACACATGACTGTTCCCTGCTGGCTTTTGCTTTCAGGCCTTTCACCGCCTCCTGGTGGCTGTGGCTGGTACTGACTGGTGTAAACCTTGCTGGGGCCATGGGAGTGAAGTTTGTTGGTCTGTTTGTCATCCTCCTGGTCGGACTGAACACAGTGTGGGACCTTTGGAGACTTCTGGGAGACCTCAGTCTATCACTGGTAAACAAAAGCACATTGTGTTGTTGAGTAATGCGTGATGTTTGGCTGCTCTTCTGACTTTCTTTTCTGGCTGCAGGTGGACATTGCAAAGCACTTCCTGGCTCGGGTTGTTGGGCTCATCCTCCTCCCAGTCTTCCTCTATGTGACAGTATTTGCCATCCACTTTGTTGTGTTGAACAAAAGGTGAGTGTGATTACTGCTCAGCTCACAAAATACTATCCACGGCATTGTTTAAGTCCTCATGATTGCTTTCTCTCACCAGTGGACCGGGAGATGGCTTCTTCAGTTCTGCCTTTCAGTCCCGTTTAATCGGGAACAACCTACACAATGCATCCATGCCTGAGTGTGAGTCCCAAACACATGCGTGAATAAAACCACATGGTGCTGCAGCTGTGTTTACTAAAACACTAAAATGAAGATGTGAGGGAGGTCAAAGAGAAATGGAGGCATTCCTTTAGTATTGATGACAGCCAGATGGGCTGAAGCCTTTTCTTCATAAAGTTACATAGCGGGGTTTTACTATTGAGGCTTACTGTTCTGTTTTATGTTCAGTTCCATAATTGGCTGGTGTCACTTTTAATGATGTTTAAAAAGGCATTTTCCATTAAATATATTGTGTTTTAATGATGTGGTCCTCTTGATACCATGTTGTTCTTATGATGTAGATCTGGCATATGGCTCCACCATTACTGTGAAAAATCTCCGTATTGCTGGAGGCTATTTGCACTCTCATTGGCACTTATACCCAGAGGGAGTGGGAGCACGGCAGCAGCAGGTCAGGCTATAAGTTCAACTGTTAAACATCCACAACCATAGTTATATATGCTAACACTTATGGTCATTTTATTTATTCTAAATAAACAGTTTTCCTTGCTTTTTCCTTACAGGTGACAGCCTATCTCCATAAGGACTACAACAATTTGTGGCTCGTTCACAGACAGAATAATAATGAATGTGAGAAGATGATATCGATTTACTGTTTAGAGATACCTGTAACATTCATGTAAGTCATAAGGAAGCAATGAATGAGTCTCTTATTGTTATTCTCCTTTTGTTTATCCTTATTAAGCTCAATCTGGGACCCCTGACCTGGTTCGTCATGGTGACGTCATTCGATTGGAGCACAAAGAGTACGTATAACACCAATGAAATGTATTACTTAATCCCAGCTAATTTAAATGATAAAATTTCATTTTAATCTTAATCTCCATCTGCATTCTATAATGGTCATTTTTTTTTTTTCTTTTTTTTTTTTTGTGGTCCCTTCAGAACAACTCGCAACCTTCACAGTCACCTCCATGAGGCCCCAATGACCAAGAAACACTTCCAGGTTACAGGTTATGGCACTGTGAGTATAACCCACCTTATGTGAAGCACAACAATTGAGTCGTGACATACCTTACCTTTCACTGCCATTCAGAGACTCCAAACTGTTTAGCAAAAGCCACATCAGATTGTGATTGCATGTCATTATATCTCTGTGCATCCTGAGTTTAACGCACCGCTGTATCTTTGCTCTGTTCTTAGAATGGCACAGGAGACGCTAATGACCTGTGGCAGGTGGAGGTGTGTGGAGGTCAGAAGGGTGACCTGGTGAAGGTGCTCCGCAGCAAAGTCCGCTTTCTGCACCGAGCTACTGGCTGCGTGCTTTACTCCTCTGGCAAGACTCTTCCAAAGTGGTACAACTAATCTTCTCTGCTCTGACCCCACTTCCTCTTCTATTCCAGATTCTTTGTTTGTGTGGATAACTTTTGTTTCCATTCAGGGGCTGGGAACAGGTGGAGGTGACCTGTAGTCCCTACTTGAAGGAAACTCCAAGTTCTCAGTGGAACATTGAAGATCATATCAACCCTAAATGTATGATACAACATCACTTTTGCTCTTTTTTGTATATATATATATATATATATATATATATATATATATATATATATATATATATGTATATATCTTGATGTCAAACACTAACCAACATTTTACTTTTCCTTCTGTATGTTTTGGCAGTGCCCAACATTAGTCTGTCTGTGCTGAAGCCCCATTTCCAAGAGAGAGATTGGATGGAACAGGTAAAACTAACAGACAGGGAATAGGTTTCAGTGATTTACACCAAACAAGTCAAGGAAGTGCTTTCAATCTGAGCTAATCTAAGGCCTGCTCGCTCTAGAGTCAAACTGGAGTGGTATCCACCTTGTCATCTGACTGCCAGCAAGAAGGCGTATAAATGTATTCTCAAATTGTCAAACTACGACTTTAATATCACTGACTTTTTCTTCATCTTCACGTCAACCCACAGCAGATAGAAGCGAGGCGCATAAATGTGTTTGGGGCTTTTCAAAGCATTTTAAGATAACAAGGGAAATGGTTTAAAAGCAATGGTGTAATCACTAGAAACCTCATTAAATGCAATAGACATTACATAGTGATAATAAACTTTTTATGACAGCATAAGAATGAACTACAATAAATTTTTTTCCTTCACAGTAATGACTCTACTGGTCAGCTCACCTGTAAGAACAGTAACAGAAAGGACCAACTGCCCAGCTCGTTCCAACCAATCAGAATAAGCGTGGGCGGAGCAGCAAGTCAGCACTTTTTAATAGGATGTCTAGTGTAATTCCTGTGAGAAAGAACACAATGCATTAACGAGAAAACCACCATGACTGCTTTGTCTATATAAGGGGTTTTCAAAGCCTCAAACCCTATCAGACAAAACATGGGCCTGGCTACAACCCTGTTTATGTTTTTTAGTCTATATTTTTTTACGTTTCGGATAACCTGCACCATTTAAAATGCGTCATCAGCAGTTCCTGTTTAGCAATGTCCCCACAAGAGTACAGACAACTATCGCGGATTAATTTGATACAAAAGAAAACTTCTTCTCAGAAATGTTCTGGAGTTAAAGAAACAGACTTTTTTCCTTTGACTTCTAAACAGAGATGGAGAGATTTATTCATGGTGGACAAAGGAGATAATGATATCCTCAGAAAGTGTAAGGTTCGGACTCTGAGAACAAGTATGAATTAAGTACTTAATTCGCCTTATCTGTATCTTTGCCTCATATCTTACCCCTTCAACTCTCACTAACAGTTTTGAAAACCTCTGCTCTATTATGGAATAGAATAGAAGGTAAAATGCATTGGGATTTAATACCTGTTAGCATGCTGCTGAAGAGCATGGCAGGGAAGTAGTTGGTGATAGTAGAGGACACGGCCCATAGTATAGAAAGGTGCATAGTGAAGCAGCCACCGAGGAGAAGCAGTCCTCCCCTCTCATAAGCACATGAGATGCTCTAAACAGAGTGGAGTACAGAACATTTACAATACATTTAAATCATCTTTTTAATATAATATCAATATCAATATCAATATTTATTACCTATTCTTTTTTGGCCCAATGAGAAACCTCGTTGCAGGGCTACAGACGCCACTGCCACCATGATCAGATATAATCCCAAACTGGCCAGGTTCATCCACCAGAGCACCTGAAAAAGAGTATTCAATCATGAGGGCTTTAAATGTGCATTGGTCAGACAAGAGCGACGACGGATAATGAGACTTGACTTACAGGGTTCCCCAGCAGATAAACACGATACTCTGTCTCATTCACTCCTGAGAACCTCAATCCCTTTTACAGAATAAACCAAGAACATTTGAAGTTAAAAATTGCACACATGCATTTCATTTGAATTTTTTATTAGCGTAAATCATTCAGTGCACCTGGTAGTTGATGGGCCAGTGCCAGGGTTTTGAGTTCATCTCATTGTCTTTGGGTTTCAAGCCACTGTTACCCTGAATAGACATGTTTTTTTGGTTTTAATAATGGTTTCTGATAAACTTGTTCTTTAAGCACAGATGGATTTTCTCAATGTTTCTTACTCTGATCATAACAATGTGGGACTCCAGTAAGATCTCCAGG